CTGAAATCAACTCATCAACCTCAATCAAAACATTCGGCCCATCCAATGCCTCCCGTCCGTTCCGTACCGTGGCCAACTACCTGGAGGACCTCTTCATCCCCTACCTGCACCTAGTCTCGCTAAGCACGACAGTCGAACGGGTCGAGAAAACCAGCCACGAATGGACCCTAACCCTCCGTAAAACCGGCCAGCTCTACCGCGGCCTACCCCAAGACTACTGGTGGACCGAGACCTTCGACGCCGTAATTATCGCTTCAGGTCACTACAACGTGCCTTCCATCCCATCCATCCCAGGCCTATCCACCACAGCCTTAACACACCCCCACGCCTTCGAACACGCCAAGGCCTTTCGCCACGCCGACAACTACGTAAACAAGCGCGTCCTCATTATTGGCGGCAACGTCTCCGCCGCTGACCTGGTCACCGAACTCCACGAGATCGTCTCCGGACCCCTCTACATCAGCCAACGCGGAATCAACCCCGCCCTCGAGAATGCCTGGACCCTGCCCAACGTCGAGCGCAAGCCCACTCTATCTCGCCTCGAACCTACCACGGCATCAGGAAGCACAAACAACACCGTAACAGCCCACTTCACCGACGGCACTAAACTCGAATCACTCGACCGAGTCATCTTCGCCACAGGCTACACCGCGTCATACCCCTTCCTTGTCCCGGACCCCGTCACGGCTAATAACCGCGTCGCGGGCTTTTACCAGCATATATTCCGTATTTCGGATCCCTCTCTGGCGCTGGTGGGCCAGGTGCGTGCTGCTCTCAGCTTCCGCGTCTACGAGTACCAGGCTGTTGCGGTGGCGAGATATTTCTCTGGTCGGGCGAAGGAGCTGCCGAGTCAGGCGGAGCAGGATCGATGGGAGTTTGAGAGGTTGAAGATCAAAGGGAATGGGGTGGCTTTCCACGAAATCAAGCCGGATTTTAGGGAGTATTTTGAGGCATTGTTGGAGATTGCGGGTGAGGGGGCTGGATTAGCCCCGTTTGAGGATAGGTGGGCCGATGAGGCATTTGAAATCTTGAAGGCCAAGGATGAATATTGGTTGAGATTGAAGAGAGGTCAGAATAGAGCGAAATTGTAGGGAGCTATTGCTCTGGGATACTCCTATTGGCGATTGGTTAAATGGGCTTTTGTTTGTTGTTAACAGCTTGCGAGTGGCAGGATATGCGTCACAATATATATAGTTTCAGATAATCGTCACCATCAATACCGATTTTGGTCCTCTATTATTATCTGTTTATGTTCTATTCACTGATTGATATCCATGAATTTCACAGCTAGTAATCCCCGCAAAACACTTAGACCTCCGAAGACCTTTTTCGTCCCACATTCCCGATCTTCCGTAACCCGATTGAACTCACCACCAAACTGGCAATATTCATCGCAAAAAGGAACCAAAAGGCCGCCCGATAGCCCACCATCAATGCCCCCGGACTCTCCTTGTTCTCCGATTGAGCGTACTTATCAGTGACACCATTTGCGATCAACGCCACTAATGCCAGCCCAATGCTTCGACCGAACTGCGACACTGTATTGAATACACCGGCAGCCAGTCCTTGTGTTTCCGCAGGAAACATTCCAGCGATAAGAATGGTCGAAACCGTGAATAGAACATCAGCTGCGATGGGGTTGAAGCACATGGCAAAGAATGCACTGCGCCAATATGTCCACGCGGGATTGATAATTGCTATGAGCAGCGGCGAGAGGGATGAGAGAATAGTGGCCCAGTTGATCAGGGAGTCTGCGCGCACTCGATGCAAAATCATGCCAGTGGCCAGGCTTGTGAGTACGCCCATGGTAGTCACTGGGATGAAGCGTACTGAAGTACTGAATACGGAGAGTTGCTGAACGTCTTGGAAGAAGAAGTTGGCTATTTGCTCAAAGGCATTGAAGGCACCCCAGATGAGGAATACGTTGGCGCAGATGCAGGTAAAGGCTGAGTTCTTCCACAACGAATTTTTGATTAAGGTGGGCCGAGATCGATGCTCTTGTTGACCTTGCCAGAAAGCGAAGAAGGACATAAGAATGATAGACAAGCAGAAAAATATAATGGTGCTTGATTCATGAATCTTTGATACATTATCTGTAATGACCCTAATATAGTGAGTAGTCCAAGTTAGTGATATTTTTCCATGTCAACTCAACCTTAAGATATACGAACGCTAAAGCATATGAGAGTAGAGCCAGCGCAGCACTTGAAGTAAGAGCCCCGATCCAGTCAATTCCAAAGAAGATATTACGCCATGAAACACCCTGTTGCTCAGAGGTCCTGGCGGGCAATTGCCGTACCGATAGGAGCAAGACCGGGGTATTGGCAATTGCTGCGCTGTAAAAGCCCCAGCGCCAGCTCACAGTATCTGCAAAAACACCACCCAGAAGGAGTCCGACACCGAATCCGATGGGTTGACCCGATCCCATCAGAGCAAAGGCAAGATTCCTGAGTTTTCCTGATGGGAAGTGCTCAGCAATTATGCTCATGGCAGATGGCATACAGAGTGAGGCCGCGACACCAGAAATGATTCTAGAGATTATCAGCTGGGTTACGCTCCGAGCGAGGCCACAGGCTATCGAGGAAGCACTCTGTAGAAAGCATCCCGCGAGCAGAGTTGCTTTACTGCCTACCGCATCGGAGATGGCACCCGAGATGAGGAGTGTGCACCCTGTTCCCAGGGCGAACATTGATACTGGCCTATTTCATTGCTTTGTCAGTTCTGTCTTCTGTTTGATGCGACCACAACGCAAAGATTTGCAACGCACCATAACTCCACTCCAGGACTTAGGTGTAGATCCGAGGAGATTTGTGGAACAGACACGGTGACAAGGCCACCTAGATAAGAACCAATAAAAGTGATACAGGAGATACAAAATATGACCACAGGAGCGTTTGGAGGCCCCCATGGCTCTCTATCCGGCAGGAGAGCCCCATGCTCAGAATTTGTTTGCTGCGAGTTCGGCTGTTCCTCTTGGTTATTCCCCTGATTAGATGGGGTGGAAGGTTTGTTGAAAGTCGGCGCTTGCGACATGGTATGCATGAATCATATATGTATGAATCAATCCAGTCTATCATCAAGGGAGGAGAGAAGAGAGATTATCTCTACGCCAGGCAGAGAGGAAAACGTGGACGAAAGAAATAAACTCGGAAGAAGCGGCAATCCTTATCTAAATGGCTACCCCACTAGTCCGTAGGGCCGAGCAAGACCCTGGCCAACTCATGCGCGATAGACTCTTCCCGCTCTAGAACTAAGTAGAACAGGGAAAGGGAGTCCGAGCGGCCTGCAGCTGCTTGCGCGTTTTCGGGACTTGCATGTTCTTATCTCGACTAGTGATACCTACCATCTACTCCGTTGTGAGTAGATACTTATGCGAGTAGTAACTCGCAGTGGCTCTGCTATAGAGTAGATATCTTCTACCATGCACCCAATGAAGGGGGGCGTTACCGCCACACCTACCAGGTTTCTTCCATACAAGAATTCGCTCATGCCACACCCCTGCCTACTTTCTGCTTACTGCAGAGAGTAATGTCGGTCTGGAACAATAGATCGAGACATCTTCCGTTTCTTCCTTGGCATCCGGGGTTTGAAGATTGTCGTCGGCAATTGTGGACTCTGCATCAATACTTGATGCCGCAGAGGCCATGGTGGAGGTCAGGGCGGACACGGTAAAAGTATGAGCGTAGTAGAACCGTTCAACAAGGCATCCAGTGGCGGTGTATAAGTCAAAGTCCGAATTTCGGGGGTCAAAACGATAATCACGCAAAGAGTGTATTAATCAGTGGCATCACGCGTATTATAGTGCTTGCTGACCCAAGAGTATTCAGACCTTCACGGTAATACAGCAAGGGAATCCTTCGCTGGTCAGATAACCAGAGAGTTATGTCCATTACTCAACATTAAAACACCTTTTTAGGCGTGATGAGTTGACTTAGTTCAACCATCTTTACTAAATCATCAGACATGTCCGCTCGGAGTGATTATTATACATTCCCTGTTCTAGTTAAGTTAACCAATCCACTAACCCATTACGCAGTAGCTGCAATGACTGGCCAGGCTTAATTGCTGGAGCCCCCTGCCCCATTTGGGCCCGTCTAACCTTATAATCCGTGGATCGACAGTTGGTTCGATCCGACTAATCAATCACATCCATTGCGAGCTACGATGGTCAAATGACAAGAAATTAATTCAGTGCGTTAAATGAAGATCGACTGAATCAACTTATCACAATGGTTATACCTTTCTTTCTTCAAATGGGAATTCTTTGTTGATCCCAAGTTAAGTTATTAACCTGTCGGCTTGATTATAATTTGCCACCGCCACTAACTGCTATTCCCTTCCGGTCAGACATTGGACCTCAGCGTCGAAATGTTTAAATATATTTACAGGTAGCGGCGCAACATTAAAGTTGATGTCATCAGCCAACACCTTAGCTTTTTGGTCCCCGGCTGCGTCTCCACTACTTATAACGTCCTGATTTTGCATGGCAGATTTGAGCGAGTGTGGTTTGCTGTAGTCAGCCCCAATGACAGTTAAGCCTTCAGGAAAAAAATGCCGGAGAGAATGGTGACTGGAACTAGTGGAGAGCAGCGTGATTCTTGGACGACGGTGGGCCCAAGATTTCCGCCTGGGCCAATCCCATGCCACTGTAGTGGAAATCTCCACTTTTCTCAACAGCTCTCTCTCGGTATGATGAATAAACAGATAAAGACCGATAAACTAACCTAACGTTCGACCCAACACTTGACTATTGGTTCGCGGTCGGAGCTTCAGGTTATCCCATCGACAACGATTTCTAATCACAGAGTAAAGGCACTCAATTACGGGTGTAGAGAGCTATAAGTAGAACAGACGCCGCGCACCCAGTATCATTTACTTCCCTGTGCAGGCAATAGTTTCTGATCACTTTGTACTATTCCTAATTTTTTACCCTGTTTATCACAGTCGCGCCAGCGCGAGCATCTCTTAACTTCCCCCGACTCCATCGCCACCCCATTGCCATGACGACTCCTACCAACATTGATCCCAAGGATGCTCAAGCATATTGGGCCAAATATCAAGGGGACAGTTATCTTAAGGGCTGGGCCTCCCTCTGGGACAAAGGTGATAATTTACCCTGGGATCGTGGCTTCCCCAACCCCGCGCTAGAGGACACCCTGGTCCAGCGAGCTGGCACCATTGGCGGGCCCATCGCCCAGGACGGTGAGAGGCGGAAGGCCCTAGTGCCGGGCTGTGGACGTGGAGTCGACGTGCTCTTATTCGCGAGCTTTGGGTATGACGCCTATGGCCTGGAGTGCAGCGCCGCGGCCGTCGAAGCGTGCAAGAAGGAGGAGAAGGTGAACAGTAGCCGGTACCGCGTGCGAGATGAGAAAGCTGGCAAAGGGAAGGTCACTTTCGTCCAGGGGGATTTCTTTGATGATACCTGGTTGAAGGAAATTGGAGTGCCTCGAAATGGATTTGATGTCATTTATGATTACACGGTATGTATATCACTCACTGCCGCTGTTGGGATCCATTCCGTCATTGCTATTGTTTTCTCTCCACTTGTACTCTGCGCCTACGGACGGCACCGCAAGATGGTTACTCTGTGTTTAGAATTTTGATGTGCCTTTTCCGACCCACGCTGGATCCTTCTGGTCTTTCTGGACTCTCCTTCTGACAACCATCCAGTTTTTCTGTGCTCTGAACCCAGAGCTCCGTCCTAAATGGGCTCTGCGACACACCGAGCTCCTTGCTCCCTTCCCTGCAGGCAACCTGATCTGTTTGGAATCTCCTCGTCATAAGGATCCCTTGGCCCCCGGCCCTCCATTTGCCTCTCCTTCCGAGGCCTACATGGAGCATCTGAGCCACCCCGGTGAGAAGATCTCCTACAACAATAAGGGTCTTGTCGACGCGGACCCGTTGCGAGAGCCCAGCAAGGCGGGCCTGGAGAGAGTGGCGTACTGGCAGCCAGAGCGCACACACACTGTGGGCAAGGATAAGAATGGGTTGATCCACGACAGAGTCTCTATTTGGCGTCGACGTGTCTAGAAATGTGCCTGCGCATTTGTGACCCAAATAGGGACAGAACATTAATGGAAAATATAGGTGATTATGGAGTCCGGCCTTAGATTTTAAAGGCCAGCCCCTAGACGCTAAAGTGAAAGTCGAATTGAATTGCTGGGATGCAAAAGGCACTTTTTTAAAAGAAATTTCGCGGACATAGGGAACATATGCATTGGGAGGATTTCCTCAACTCCATAGCGGGACCTTGGTTCTAATCGTCGCATCATGCAAAGTAAGCGGAGATTATATTTATTGTAGACATATGTCGTTGTTATACATAATTCATGGTATTTCGTACACAGGGTTAAACGCCCAAGGATCATCAAGAGTGGCAAGGCGAATGGCATTTTCAACATCGCGCTTTCGGAACGCTGGCCCGCGACCGAGACAGATAGTGCGGAGGGAAAGATCTACGACCAGGTCAGTAAATGCACGGACAAGAAGGCACAAAGAACCATTGATCGCGGCGTTACTCACATTTGATGAAGCTCACTGCGTTGAGCTGCGGTGCCGAATTGAACCGGGAACGGGAGAGGGGCGAGCTCGGGCCCTGAAGACGAATCCCTCGCTGCTGTAGCAGCCTTTGCACACCACTCGCATCCATCCACTCATCAGGACCCGATTCATTGACAATCTGCCACATTCGCGAGGAAAGGGCGAGTCGTTCAGGCGAGTAGCTGTTCCTCCTTGAATTAAGGACTCTTGTCCTTAACTCAATCGTGTCTCCTGTGTCGTCGTGCATGACGGCGACAAATCCGGAGATCAAGCAGTCGCGCTCGTTGATGGCTAATTGTTTCCCGAAGATTGCTTTGACCATTGGATCATCTCCAGACAAGCTTGTTAACAGACAGTATCCAGTCTCGCAGCATTGTCGGACTAGAAGGTGTGAGAGTGTCCAGCGCCCTTGCTTTAATGAATTGTCCGGCGATAGTATGGTCGGGAAATTCAAGGCAGGAGCAGGACTAGCGATGGATGAGAAGGAGATATTCGGAGGCGACAAGGCTATTCCGAACGGCAGAATTGCTTGTTCTTGGAAGGGTGGCGTAGGGGGTAGTTGTGATAAGTCAGGCCATTGAGCCGCGAGGTCCGACTCGGGCGGGAAAGTATTACCGATTATGGGCAATGAATCAAGTTGCGTTATGAGCGTATTATAATTTGAGATGATATCTTGTGTATTGCTAAGCGTGGGAGACATTGACGGCGCCACATCCGCCGGGGCTGCAGGTTGTTCGGCCTCGTCGCAGCTCCTTTTGGCAAGCGACACGTATTGCTGTGTAATTTTTTGCAAAGCAGCTGTGACAAGAGGCTGATTTTGAAGAATCCCAGCCTCGAACAGAAGATTACTGAAGGAAAGGAACGACTCGCTGAGCTCCTCGATGCCTGACTCGAGTTCCTGTACGCGAGATTGCAGATTGACGATCGTGGTCTCCTTTCTCCTGCGATATGCTTGCTGCGCGACACGAAGCTGCCTTCTACGTCTCTGGATTCCTTGAGTTAGTTCCAACTTGCTCTGTATTTGCTTCGATGTGCCCACCTCGGGAGCTTGTTGGTCGTCCGTCGCATTTCGTGGCCGGCCTCTCTTGCGAGGCGCGGGCGCGTCATTCATTGCTTCGACCATGGTGTATTGCTTTTGCTTTTGAGGCCCCTCTTTCAATCTTGAAGACATGCTGTGATGTAATGGATAATCTGAGAACGCGAAAAGGATGTGACGGCGTTGCCAGTTTACTCATCAGGGTCTGGGCGTCGGGACTGTTGAATAATCGAAAAATCGGTGGGCCGCCACGATTGGCCCGAACTGCGCCCAAAGTTTATTTACGGCTTTGAATTCGTGGGCTCCCCTGCTCTATCCGAACGTCATCAACTCATCATTAAGACCGAGCGCGCCGCAACGAGGAATATAAATAGAATTATCGCGGTCAGCCTACTCCGTGATGCTCCGTCTCCAATGTTCCAAAATACCTTCATGCGCAGCGCACAGCGCACAGCGTACAGCTCTCGCAACATGTCTTCATTCACTCAGCCAGTGCCAGTAGTTGCCTGCGGCAGAATACCCGCGATGGGGAAATCAATCTCCCAGCACCTACTGCCTGAATACGAAGGTTCTTGATATGCAATCCTGCAATAAACTAAGCATGGTCCTAATGCTCCTCAGTCATCCACTTCATCCTGTCATATGAGGCTGCAGAGGCTGAACTCCCGCATCTGCTTGCAGGTCGCGATCCTCAGTCTCGGAGTCCCAATGAAATAGGAACCCACGATTATAGCCGGCCTCCTCGCGCGGTAATATTTGGTCGCGGCTATGAGCCTAAGCAGGTTGAAGAGCTTAAGCAAAAATTCGCGGGTGTTACCAAAGAACCTGTTGCTTGGGTGAGGGGGAACCCAGCGGACTTGCCTGCCGGGGCCGCTGGGCCTGAGTATGCTCAGAATGTCGCGGCGGATATGAAGAAGGTGCTTAAAAAATGGAGGGATGGGGGAGGAAAGGGGGAGGAGATTTTGGTGTACTAGTTGCTTTGTCGGGAGAGATTATTTAATGCCTCACTTTTTGCCAGTTCGAATCTCCCAAACACAAATTGATTGAAGGACCGATATCAAGGATATTTGTAAGTGGTCTTGGACTTCGCTAGTTGGATCCCTGAACTTCGATCTTTGGCGTGTCGATTTACTTCTGTTCACTTCATGTAGGTGCACCTATCAATGTCATATGCCATGGTACTGCTTGGTCCACACAGGTCTCTGCGCTTTCATTACGCCGTGTTGGTTTTTTTTTGGGAGACCTAGATCCCGTTTCAAAGGATGGAAAATCACCAGTAACAATGGAGATGTACACGAAGGTCCGAAACCTCCTTCCGGCCCGCAGTACGAGCTTATTTAGAGACCCTAACGCCAAGACACCTTAATGTATGCGTGAGTCACTATTTGACAAGGTGGTAAAATGAATATAATTAGGGGCCGCAAATATACGCTACCCACTGCCCATCATGGGAACCAGACGGGTTGCCCATGAAGTGCCCAAAAATGCAGAATAACCCTTTCAGGCATACGCCTCACGCCTCAGACCCAGTATAGCCTCGTACTATGTCTATTATGTCTAAGCTGGTCCCCTGACGACTATACTGTGTTGAGCGCGACTCAAGAGCATTGTTCCCAAGAATACCTTCTTATCCTGGGCCGAGTATTGATACCATCTATTAGTTAAAAGCTGGAAGAAAGCGCCCGCGTTTCAAGCCTCACATACAAGATACTACGCACATGCCAGTGGTTTTGTAGAAGTAAGCATAGGTGTTCAATGGCACTGGCAGAATTTAAGCCTAGTGACCACCAGTTGCCTGAGAGTAGAATCCGTGGACACGGATCAAGGGACCAGCCTGATCGGCTTGAACTCCAAGTTATGGGGTTCCTCTGCTGGATTTGTCAACGCTCTCATACTCCACTCTTGAACGAAGGGAAGGCTGCGCAGGTATACACTACAATATATATTAACGAAGGCTTGTGTGCGGTAATAAGTCCTATGTAGCACCAGAGGACATGATACCTACTTAGGCGATCCACAGAAGTATTTTCAGACTACGTTATTTCTTTTATTTTGTCGCTGGGTCGCTGGGTCGCTGGTCCTGTTGGGAGCAACTTGTGGACAGTACGCGAACGTCTCGAATTGGCTTTCGTTGTTTATTGCTTTCCTGCTTCCCCAGACTATTTATGACTGCGTGAGTGTTCTTCCTTCCATTGTCTACTTGATAGGTCGGACCCGTTTTGTTTCCTTCTGCCTACTTATTATATTTAGATTTCGTTGACGGCTTTGTGAATGTTACGGTGGATCGAACATCCCAGGTGGAGGTATTCACAGGGAGCTAGTGTTTCGACGGAACCAGTGGACCCCTTTGCACCAAGCCGCGGTACTTACGAAGCCACCACTAAAACATAAAAGCGTACTCGTATACGTACCGATTTTGGAACGGTGTAGGACTATAAATGTTGATTAAGGTACAACTCGGAACTGCCAATCTCAGCTACAACCTGGTCACCATGCTACTTCTCATCCTGCTCATTCTTTCAGCGATTGCGATAGAGTCTCCTGTCTTCGCCGCAAATTGCAGAAGCTCGCCTTTCAGGCCCTTTCTGGTCTCCAACTGACCGGTCGGGTTTGTTCGGACTTGGAGGCGCGGACAGACCCCCTGGTAATTTAGTGCAAATGCCAGAGGTTCGCCAACAACTCAGGTCGACAGGGATATGTGTCCAGTGGTGCATGAATTCAGAGCTACCGATACAGCAGGTACATATAAGTTTTGGAAAGTAAACATTGGGATATTCAAAAAAAAAAAAAAATTATTTTTTATGGTCTGGCAATTGGTAGCTAGCAAAAGCTAATGTACGAGGAAGTGCTGAGTACTGATCTCATATGATCAGGTTAAATTATACCAGGAATGTCATAACTTACCAGGAATGAGCTTGACTTACTGTTTTATTATTTAGGTCAATTCATTCCATCACTGCAAAGTTATTGTGACTACTGACAAGGAAGTGTTGCCTATTCCCCATTCCTTTCTTGATCTCCTATTTACCCCTGTCATAGATGTGGGCCCAGCCTTTGTTCTTTTGACGGGGTAAGATTATAGACCAGCATTTAGTTTCCCCAACAGCCTTTCTAACACCCCCGCCCCAGTTAACCCCACCGACCAACACCTTCTATGCGATCATTTAAGCAATGAGTCGCTTCTGGTGGATTTTCTCTTTTCTCCCTTCACATATTTCCCGTTCACCACTGACCTCACAAACAGGAACACCCAACGTGATAACAATGCCTGCCGACCTTGTCGACGTTCTCATCATTGGCGGCGGCCCCGCTGGCCTAACAGCAGCCCTCACTCTTGCACGACAATTACACACAGCGATCCTCTTCGATAATCAGTCCTACCGCAACGGCAATTCCTCCTTTATGCACATGATCCCAACATGGGACCACAAAGATCCTGCTCAATTCCGAGAGAAGGCTCGCCAGGAGATCCTCTCGAACTATTCTACCATTCGCCTGGAGAATGCAACTGTCGCAAAGGCGGAGAAGAAAGACGACGGTCTTTTCAAAGTAACAGATGAGAATGGGAGTTCTTGGGAAGGAAGGAAATTGATCCTTGCCACTGGATCCCAGGACATTTTCCCACCCATTCCCGGCTATGCTGATGCCTGGGGAAAGCGCATGTGAGCTCCATATTCCATGACTCTCCACGTGCTATCTTAGAGCTGGGCTAATTTCTTTGGAAATAGCTTCCACTGTCTCTTCTGCAAAGGATACGAGGATCGCAGTGCAAAGCGAGCAGGCGTTCTAGCCATCCAGTCCGCCGCAAATGTGCCGATGGCGATGCATCAGGCGGAAAATGCTGCCCAGCTGGCCGAGCAGGTTACCATCTATACGAATGGACAAGAGGCCCTTAACTCCCAGTTGGCTGCTACCTTAGTCGATAAGGGCAGCACAACAGTGTTCAAGGTCGACAATCGTGAAATAACCGGTGTGTCGCTCAATGGGGACGATCTGAGTAATCCAGTCTCTGTTCAGGTCCAGCTTGCCGATGGTAGCCAGGTCGAAGAAGCTTTTCTCGTTCATAACCCTGACACGCAGGTCAAGAGCGCCCTCGCTACTCAGTTGGGTCTGGACCTCGCACCTAGTTTTGTTCCCGGTACGGGCGATATAGCTGCCGCAGCCCCTTTCTATCAGACCAGCATCCGGGGCGTGTTTGCTGCGGGCGACTGTATGACTCCGTACAAGGTGGTTGCGGGCGCCATTTCTAGTGGATGCAATGCGGCTGTTGCGGCTTCAGCGCAGCTGCTCGCGGAGAAGCATGGCCACCAGCCGCTTTTCTAATTCTAACGTTTGGTGACGATTCTAGATGATATGAGGGCTATACTATCCTGGTCAGATGTGACAAGACGAGGAAGGTTATGGGAAGCGGAACAACTGTAAATTCTATACAAAAATTGCACATAGGTCCAGAACCTGTAGAAAAGGCTAATTGGTTTGAAAGGCATGTAGACAGCTAAACACCGATTGTCCAGGATGGTGGATTACACAGCCTCAGCCTACACAAAATGGCGAGGGAGGCTTTGCAAGGACACTTCCATGAGACATAGCAATGAAAAATATGGCAATGATAGGAAGGAAGGCGCTGCAAACAAGCTTGTTTAGGACCCGTGGTTCCATCGCCCCATTGATTCGGCCAAATGCCGAAACGGGGCAAAATTTCGCCGTTTGAGGCAACTGGTTTCCCGTCCCCGCACCTGCTCGGCGACTGCCATCCGATCGCGATTCTAAACAAGAGCTGAACAATCCTGATCACAAAGACATACCCACCGACCGTCTTAAAACTACATTGCTCCAAGGTGTTTTCAGTCGCCCCATTTATTCTACAAGTCTATTACGGGCTTTTCTTGATAATGGACCAACCTCAACCCTTACCCAGGAGGTCTCCTACACGGTCGGCTCGAGAGAACATTTTCCAGTTACTCCATAGAATCCGTCATCGAAATGTGTATTGACAATATTAATGCAGTACTATGGTTTGTCATTAGACTATCTATCTACTTAGTCGAGTCATATGCATAATAACGACTTTTGGTATCATGAGTCAATAGCAATCACTGGTAATCATACCAGAAGCGTATCCGCGAGTCCACTTGGCAGCCATAACGTTCGCATCTCTCCATGGAACCCGAGAACTGTGCCAATCCAATGTTTTGCCAACTTCAACTTTTCGGAGTGTTTCTGTGGCGGCCGTCAGATCATCCGCAAGGAAGAATAGCCTCGTACTGAGGATACTTTTGTGGCAGATATTGGTTATAACGTCCGTTATCTGCTCGACACCCATTCCCACGAAAGGCGAGCAGAACATGTGGTCGACTGGGGGAACACTGGCTGATTCGGGAGTCAGGGAATCGAGGGCGTGTATAAAGCTGGTGTCTAAGAGTATCAGACCGGGGGGAAGACTTCGGTCGCTCGCGTATGCTTCGCTAATTATATCAGAGAGCATCTAGGAGAGTAGTGTTAGAACGGATGTGACTGTGTTGGAGACGATTGAGTAAGTCTTACGTGTGGAGGGATGGATTCCTCCATACAAATGATGCACACCAGTTGCTCGAGTGGATCAATCGGAGGTGGGATGATCGACATCCTCCTTTTCGTCTGGATAGTGAGGCTGCGGGTCGGCTCTACAGTGACTGGTGTCACCTGGTCGGAAGTAGAGCCGTTTAGCTTCGTCAGGATTGGCAGATTACTGGTGGACATTTTGTTGTTGTTGTTAGGTTCATAGTGTTGGATGGGGACAAGATGCTGGTCCTTTAAACCTGACCATCTGTAGACTAGCAACAAAGGGGTCGGAGTCTCCCAGTAATTAGTAGTAGCAAATGAGAAAGTCGGATAAAGGAGACTCGATGCCAAACAAGACTAAATATTCTTTCATAGAGGCCTCTACCGTCTTCTATTGGCGACTTGCCTTAGCAACAAGTAGAAAAGGGACGGATATTGACGACATTCTGGACACTCTCGCAAAGTGCCCCGTTAGCTGCGCTGAGTCTCCTTGTTGGTTCTAAACATGACCTTAGATCGTATAGAACGATGCCAGATACACAAGGGATGACACGGTCTTTTGGATCACTATTGGGGAATGAACATAATGAGGACACAATAAGGCGTGAAGAAGAGACAAATGAACATTTGTATATTGGGTATTCTCTCCAAGGATTCTCATTATTTGCATGAGATGTGTAGGCCTGGCACATGAAGAGTTCAAAGGATGATCTTGACAAAGTTTCACAGATGAAGTCACACAAACATGCGGGGCAGAGGAGGTACATCGGAATGGGTCTGGTGCCATTGTTTTGCTGAAATGAATGACCTACAATAAAAGGCCTTGAACTATTCATATTGCACAAGATTGGGAAATTCCATGACAAAACAAGGAACATTCCTTCCCCAACCGTGACGCCAGGAAGAGTTACAGTAATAGATGCACAGTTAAGTGATTCCTAAAACCGATTGGTGTTCTTGAATTCGTCCTAACTACTCCTTCAATCCTCATTCGATAATTATATCCAGGCTGAGCTGTTGTAGAGTTTAAGTTCGCCTCTCTCGTGGATGATAGCGCCCCCACCCCCCCGAATGTAACAAAATGAAATTACCTAAGGATCGTCTCAGGTATTCCCTCCAAACTATCCCATCTACATCAAGCAAGGGATGTGGCAGAAATGATACTTCAGAGAAAATAGTCCCTTCAGTGTTTCAGTTTGGCACCTAATTAACCCGTGAGACATCAGTATCACTTTCTCCAGGCAGCATATGAAGGCTTGAAAACATGGAGTGAAGAATTATTGAAAGTCATTACCTCCCCTTCAGTTTCAGTTAGCAGCCTAGTAACTTCATACTCAGACGTACGTCAACCCCATTAACAAAGGCGTACAATGTCCTACAATTGGCGGAGCGAGAAGATGCATTCTCTAAAAGCATATGAACTGCTTGTTGGATGTGATTAACGTGAGTATTAGTGCGTCTAGGCGAAGGGTATGAATATTATAGTGCCACTACAATGGGATTGCTGCCTTGGGTGCAGCACAACTGGCCCCTGGTTTGTTACTATCCGCACAATATATAAACCGGGCACGGAGCAGGTCCGGACCTACGAAGTCAGAGTAGGACCCACATGCATTAATAACCACAGCATATTAAAATGCTTGATCGTTTGCCTGATATAGTGCTGCAGCAGATTTGGGAATGCCTTGGCCCCGCGGCTCACAGTGTCTTCTCCAACAACCAAGGCTGGTACATCACCCCCCTGCTGCGGGTCTGTTGGCGACTCTACACAATGTTCATGCCCCTTGTGCACCAAGCGTTCCATGTCCACACAGGCTCTTACCCAAGGTTTGAGAACGTCCCATATCTTCCATTCATCGTCTCTGCTACACAGAACACATATCGGTATATCCACATTGCATCCGCCATTCAAATCCTTAGCGTAGAGGATCTGTTCGTTGGCAGAATTCCCAAGACGCCTCTTCCTCTCGACTCCGTGCTCCTCGAAGCCCTCTTGCAATCTCTCAAGGCACTTCCTGACCAGGTATGCTGGTGGCGCGAAGCACTGGAAGCCGGCCGTGAAGATGCATGGTTCTCCATTCTGCTGCTCCAACTGCCCAATTTGCGCAAGGGAGCTCAAATACCTCGACGCAAATTCGCCATACCTGCAGTCCATTCTATCGCGGCTGACTGACCCAAATGACCCTCTCACAGGTCTTACCCAGCTATCAGAGCTGAACTTCAGCCCTCAGATGCCTGTTGATTGCTCATATCTATCTAGCTTCATACCGTGTACCCAGCTCCCTTCAATACGGAAGATTCGCCTCGTTAGAGCCATTGATAACTACCAACCCCCATCATTCACAGAAGAAGGCGATGCAACCGACTTGCTTGACGCATCATCTCTTTCCCCGATCCTTCCGGTGTATCAATCTTATTTCCACTCCGACCTAACGCACCTTACCCTCCACGGCTGCTCCACCATTGCAACACTCCCAAGCCTCCTTACACGCCTCCCCAAGCTCAAGTCCCTCATCTACCGCCACTACGACAGAGGACTCCCACAAGTCAATACGCAAGCAACCACCGACCATACCAACCAGAATGCTGGGATCAGTACCTCAATGCGCCAGGCATCACCCGTTGCTCAAACACAGTATGTCGCTACTTCAACACCGACCAATATCTTGAACCCAGTTGAGCTGTACCAGGGTCTGACTGAAGCGTCGTGCAACTCCCTTCAAGAACTCTGGGTGACTGTCGAGAGATCTCTCCGTATGAAGGAATACGAGAGACGTACGCAGGACCTTCCAGGAATCCCTATCGGGGACCTAAGGGTATTTCACTCGCTACGGCAGGTGCGGATTCGTGTGGATAATCTCCTAGCAGTGGTGCGGAATGGTGGCAGTCCCCAAAACGGCCATTTCTCCAATGTCTGGGCGAGTAATAATCTATGGGATGTCTTACTTTTGAGTTTGGAAGGACTGTTTCTGGAGGATTGTGATCGGGGAATATTGCCTGTGCTAGCGAGCCAACTGAGGCAGGTATTGGAGAGTCAGGTAGGAATGAAGGAGTATGTGTTGTTCCCTTTGATGAAGTCTGTCGTGTTGCAGCAGCCGATCGATGAGGTGGACCGCGTGCCTTTCGTGTGTCCACCGAATATACCCCACTATTCCCTGGAGGCGTTTCAGCTGGAATATAATCATCGGAAGGCCGCGAATGATATTCAGCCGGATATATACGCTCTGTTGATGGCGTTAAAGAAGAGATTTACTACGTTTGATCTGGAACTGAAGGTGCTTGATAAATGGGACAGAGACGAGACTTTCCCTACGTAGTAGGCAGTTTCGACTTTTTGCAACATTATCTTTATTGTCTCAGGACAGCTGAATACGGATAATTGAACATGCAACTCTCACAATTGATCACAAGTAAGTAGGCACAATGGGGAAATCATAACATGAGGAATAGCTTCGCCCAGTTCTCCCTTACCATCTCCTAGCATAAATAGTCCCGTTCCACATTACTATTCCGAACACGCAGAGTTAATCAATAAACTCGGAAACAAAGTCTGTCAGGAAATAGAGAGCCTTATCGTAGACCGGTCTGGCAAAGAGCACGAAGAATTCACTCAGCAGTACAAACTGCTAGTCAGATTAATCTGAATCCAGCCAAGACATACCCAACAAGTCGATGAAAATGGGATCCCGACCATAGAGTTCCTTAAGGTCAGACTTAAGACGTGTATCCGGCTCAAAGTTGAGAGGGATGGATGACATCCACTGCTTCACGATTTCGATGTCGTTAAAATCGTGAAAAACGTTCTGTTCGTTGAAACAGAACTGCTCCACCGCAAGCTTTCCATTCTCGGCTTCATTCTCTGTGTTCAGCCTCTCCCTGTACAGTCGCAGATCCACCCCAATGGCTATAACACCGTATACCGGTTGGAGAGTCGGGAATTTCTCTCGGATGTTTGTAAAGGCGCGGATCAACGTCGCAACATGTTTTCTCTCGATAGCCTCCCAGCCCTTGCCGTCCTTGTCATAGTAAGAATTGTGGGGATGACAGCTGAGCCAAAGAATGGAGGTTGGGGGAGCCGACCAATACTCTTTCGTTCCGGGCACGTCTTGGCTGGCGTGTAGAAACCGTTTGAACTCCGCGCGATTCAGGTCAAGAGCGATAGTAGTGACACTGAAGCCATCGGGTAAGGCGTTATGGGATTGGGTGGGGGCTGCCATCGTGACTGCTTTCCTTTTTCGTGTTGTCACGTGCATTGGAAAGAAGGATGGAGTGTGATTATAAGTAATTACCGAGGTTAAGCTGCTGCACTGATATGCACTGACAGGCAGTGAAATATGAAAGATGAATGGTTGGTCTATTTATAGACGTTCATTGAGATGTATGGTTTCCACCCAGTGACTAGCACAAAGCTTTTGTCTTTGTAGTGAAATTTAATTGTTATCCATAGAGGACGTGCCTAGTACTGATAGTTGGAATTTGCCTTGGTCAATATTGGTTTAGTCACTACCAACTTTAACCATAACAGTTAGGTCTTTTGTTCTACGGTCGCCAGACTTAGATGCTAGACTCATAGCTACCATTGACCGGGACTTTTCGTCAATTAATAAAGGTTATCACTTGTTCGTATCATAATGCTGAGTTGATCAGACATCTCAAATCACTAGTAGACACACGACCTGAGACAGTATAGCGCCAACTCAAAGCCCACAGGGGGCTCAAATCCCCAGATTTGAGGATACACTCGACTAAACTCTGCGTGTCACTGGGTAATTTCCTAGTTAGCTATCGAAGTGAATCATAGAGAAGTGCTAGCCACTCCAAGACATGAATTGTTCACATGTAGGGAATGCTACTGCCTTTCAACTGCTTTTAAAAGAGGCTTTGTCCGCTTTTGTCCGCTTTTGTCAAATGCCTTTGTTTATTTGCCTTTCCGCGTTCCCGGCATTCATACATCCATATATTGATTCTCTCACCTGGAACATCTACAATATGTTGCTGCGAACCAGTGAATTAATCATGCGTGTGGGCTACGTCCGACTCTTTTTCTCTCTCTGAAGCTCACTTGTAGAGCCCATATATAGTAGAATCTAGGATGAATACACAAGGACTTAAGTGGAATCTTATTATCCGTGCACGGGCCCACCACCCCAGACACTCATCTGTGCATGTCTGTGCACAATCTCATTGAGACTTTGGGTCTCTGCTCTTAACTCCTCCAATCTCTCTCTGCAGGATGGCTATGTCGCAGTCCCTTGTTTTTCAAGCATTGAGTCTAAGAGATGGGACAGAGTTAGCGTACTTGGTATTGCTTCTCTTACTGGGTGTATCCAAAGAGTCATGGTCAAGAAAGACCCCAGCTAGGCTTGCCGTATACCATGAATTATTACTCATTATTTTCGAACTATAAGAATGACTAGGCCATTCCCTCACGGGGCAGGTTGATTTGCCTGAGCCCCCTCTTTCTTCTCCTTCATACTGAACTTGGTATCCAACGCCCTTCGCAACGGAATCTCCTTCTCCACAACGACGAGCAAAAACGCCAACCCAGCGAAAGCCATAGAAACATACCACACCGTCTTGATAGCATCAACATAAACACTAACCACCTGTGCCCTTGTCACTTCATCGGTAATTGAATCCATAAACGCCTTCGTAGCAGCCTCATATGCCTTCCCGTCCCTCAGCTGCTCCGCAACACTGGAGTCCCCAACCCTCCCCAACAACGCATTCACCCGATTATTGAACGCCGCTGTAGGAATAGTCGCACCCCATATAAGCCCGAAACTGCGAATAAACGCCCACGTTGAAGTTGAGAGCGCCGTATCTGCTTCCGTGAGCGACGCCTGCACAGCAGGAAGGAGGACAGGCAGGGCAAGACCTGTCCCCACCGCACTGGGAATCTGATATCCGACCCATTGGCCCGTACTCGCGTGATCCTTTAGCAGAGTCAACAGCCCAAAACCGATGATCATGAACGCGAAGCCAGCATGTTGAATGGGACGGTAGCGGCCCAATTTAGACAGTAAACCGCCAGCGGTTATGGCAGCCGGGATCATGAAAAGGATAGTGGGGAGGAGTTGGACTCCCGAGCGGCTGGGTGAAGCGGCAAGGACAGCCTGGAAATAGACAGGTAGGAAGTACATGACTGCGATGGCGGACAGGCTGTGCAGGAAGGTGAGGCCGAAAGCCATAGCAGACGTGCGGTTAGCAAAAAGGTGCAGCGGCATGGTAGGGTTCGGGCAGTGTTTCGGGAAAGCCTCGTAGAGGAAGAAGACGGCAAAGCCAATGAAGCCAAGGACTAAAGGGACGATGACGCGAAAAGAAGACCAGGTGTATTGGCTACCACCCCAGGAAAGGGCGATTAGGACGGATATCATAGAAAGGATGAAGAGAGTGTTTCCCAGCCAGTCGATGCGTTTCAATCTCTGCAGGTAATCGGGGGTATGGTCGGATTTCACGCGGAGAAAGAGGAATAATGTTACCATAGCGGCACCGCCGATAGGAACGTTGAGGTAGAATACCCAACGCCAAGTGGTGTATTGGACTATGAGGCCCCCGAACAGAGGGCCCAGTGTGGTTCCGATGGCGATGAGGCCGAACATGAGACCTAAGTAGCGGCCTCGTTCGCGAAGGGGTAGCAGATCGCAGACAATGATTTCGATGAGTACGTTGATGCCCCCTGCACCGATACCTTGAATTAGTCGACCGGCGATTAACATGTCGATGTTGCCGGCGCCGCCTGATAGGCCGCTGCCTAGGGTAAAGGTCGCCGTGCTGATTATCATGGGCCATCTGCGACCGTAGATGTCGGCGATCTGGCCGAATAATGGCTGAAATGCTGTCCTGCGATTATGTCACGTTAGACGAGACACAGTGTGTATGGTGAGCGGTCCGTACTGAGTAAGGTAGAAGCCATTGACCACCCATACGTAAAGATCGGCACCCCCAAGGTCTGCTGTAATGGTCGGGAGGGCAGTGGAGGTGATGGTCGCCTCCAATGAAGTCAAAAGTCCAGAGAGCGCGAGCGCCGCGATGATCGCAAAGAAGCGAAAGGACTTCTTCTCGGTCGCTAGGTGGGTCGCTTCGTCGCGGTCTCCATGGCTCTGCTTTTCGGCGATTGTCTTCTTGGAGGAGACTTCTCCTGTTACATTGGGCGTGATTCTTTGCTCTGGCTCAGCGGTGGACCTTGTTGTGTCTTTCGCATGGGCGCTGGTTGTGGTAACATTCTGCGCCGAGTTGGCAGCCATTGTTCGAGAGAGATAAGCCCTGGCGCTTATTGTGGGAATAGAAAGACATCTTATTTAAGTTGACAGAGATAACTGGAATCTATTTGTATAGGCTCGAAAAAAGACATGACTAAACACATTCTAGGCTTGCGTCCAAAGTAAACTACGTATAACGCTGCAGGAACAGCATCCTGGCCAACTCGATCTGTCCCAAGCCCTCCAATGAAACACCAAACAGTGTACATACTGGGTGAAGGCAGTGTTCTGCTATGGAATAATAGGAGTGCAGTTAAACCGGAGTGTTGGCAAATCATCCGGATGATAATCAGCGTACAGATCCGGCGAGTTGGGAAAGATTGGGGAACGGATGATGACAGGATCCGGGGAGGAAGGGAAGGAGTGAGGCGGAGTCGCACAGATCCGAGCCGAGCAAGAACGGATGATGATGATCTGTTGGGTTGAAGTTACGAAGCGTATTCAGATTAGGACTGAACGCAAAAACCCTTGAGAAAAACCCAGTCATGTCGAGCTTCCTTCGGCACCACTGTTTCATACTATGTAAATATATGCTGCAGTTCAAAGCTCCGCCAGCGGTCCGTCGCAGACGAGACGAGCTCCAACTATCCAATATCCCGAGTGCTTAATCTCGGACGTGCTCACCACTTCCCCGTCAAAATGAGTAGACAATAGTATGCAAACAAACCCCCCGTGTTCGAAGCAACTATCGACCGATAAGTGATCGTGGTAGAACAAAATTGGCTGAGATCTATTTTCGTCCCTGATTAATTCGAGCCACGAGTTCCCAGTATAGTAGATGAACCACTACAGACGTACCCGGGCGCAAACAACCTTCCGGTTATCACAGAGCTGCAGGCATCCCAGAGTATCCTAAAGCTACGTAGAGCCTTCTACCACTAGAGAGTGGCGTCTGTTTCAACTACTGCCCTAACTACTAGTAGAGGTAGTAAATTGCAACAAGCTCAGCGAGGGTGCAGACCTCACCGCCCTATAGACCGCTCAGACTGGCAGAAACTAGCGAACCTCGGAGCGAAAACCTCGGATATAAGCGGATTTAAGCCATTCCAGCCCCAGCAACCACCAGTCGAGAATCTGTTATTTTTTTGGGCGGTGAAGGGGGTAGTCTGTGGGAATGTTGTTGCGGCCTCAGGCCGCCATGAAGGATTTGCGCCCTTCCACCTTCCGGAAACCCTCCAATCCAAATGCACAGAGCGAGAGTCCGGCTCGTATAAACGCTCCACTAAAGAGCAAGAGTGTTTCGGTATCGCTGCCCCGACTTTGCCCCGAGTTCCCGACCGAGCCCGCCCGCAGATTGCGAGTTGACTCAACCCCGCTGCGGACACCGAGATAACTTGAATCGCCTTTCATGAAGCATCATCACATGTTCCTGTTCCTCTTCCATTACTACTGATTCTTTGGCCTTCATTCACCGCCTGGAGTCGGTTTCACGTCCGGAAACATACCGCAGTTAATGGTCAACTCAGACCACCACGAGCCACCGTTCAGCTACTGCTCTCACTCCCGTGAGGAAGATGTGGCCCCAACCTACTTGGATTCGGGCGAAGTTAGCCCTATGATGCATGATTTATACCCAGGAGTTCTATCGTTTGACCCTTCAAGTCTCCGGTATCCCGTGGAGGAACGGTTCGATGGCAACCAACATATACCTCATTCACACAATGTTACAGAAAACTACGACTTCTTCGGGCAATTAAGTCTAGATTCATCTATAATGGAGAATGATCCTCTACATGATTTTGTCCGTGCGGATTGCATTTCCCATGAGTCCTTATATGAGTCCAGCTGTCCTGAAGCATTGAGCATGGCGTCTCGAGATACAGGAGCTTTCATAGGTGAGAGCGCTGTGGATGCTCCTTCGGCGCTTGCATCCGATGCAGAGTACGAACAGGGTGGGCGCAAGCGCAAATCTCATTATTTTCCCAGAGAGACAGTTCGCATTCTGAGAGATTGGCTTGACCAACGCCAGAAGCATCCGCTTGCAACTAAAGAAGAGCGCGAAGAGCTTCTGCAGCGCACAGGATTGACGCGGACTCAGTTACGCAACTGGCTTGCAAACTCCAGACGTCGGGGAAAGGCTCGATCATCTACCATGCAACAGAATGAGTCGTTACCATCGGGTGCTGTTGACATCCCGCATCAATCTGTGTCACAGATGACACCTTTCGAGCGCTGGAGATATTCCCCACCTGAACATGAGCCTGCTGCACCGAGCGACATAGCTCAAGCGCTGTCGAACCTTCCACCCGGCTCTCACGCAGAACAAACGACAGGTTCAGTGAATTCTACAGCACATTCATTAGATTCCCGGACCAGCCAAGATTCCCATCCTGGGAATTGGGATATTTTCCCAACACCATCTGTTGGCAGCCACCAAACCAGTAGATCCTCCAGCTCTAGTATATCGATTGCATCTGCCTTCTCCCAGCGCTCATTACCGCGCTCTAGTTTGCCAGGTCAAAGCAACTACCGCCGTCATCGCCGTCGCCGCCAGCAGCGAAGCAAGGCACCAGCTCTTGCTAACCATCTAGCTCCACCTCACGCTCAAGGCCTTCGTCGCTTTCAGTGTACCTTCTGTACCGATACTTTCAAGACTAAGTATGACTGGCAGCGGCATGAAAAGTCCCTTCATTTATCCCTAGAGGAGTGGACCTGTTCGCCCTTTGGTGTTATTGTCTCTCTAGACGGCCACAACGTGTGCGCCTTGTGTCTGGCCATTAACCCGGACCAGAAGCACCTAGATCTCCATAACTATCATCTATGTCATGAGAAGGGCCGACAGGAGCGAACCTTCTCCCGAAAAGATCATCTCCACCAACACCTACGACTAGTTCACAATGTCAAATTTGGATCATGGATGGAGAGCTGGAAGACTAGCATTAGTGAGATACAATCAAGATGTGGTTTCTGTGACACGAATCTCAACACTTGGACAGAGCGTGTAGAGCACCTTGCGACACATTTCAGGGCTGGAATGGACATGCGCCAGTGGCAAGGAGATTGGGGATTTGAGACGGCCGTGCAAGGCTTGGTGGAAAATGCTATGCCACCATATCTAATCGGTCAGGAGCGGTTAACGACAAATCCTTATAGTGCCAAGTCCGCCAAGGCGCTGGAGACAAGCTTTGAGGCCGACAGTCCCGCTGCCACAGGGGAGGATCTCGTCGAGGACGTCAATCACTGGCGTATTCTGGAACGTGAACTTACAGATTATATCAGAAGTCAACTGGAGATTGGTGTTATTCCTCCCGATTCCACGTTACAAGATATGGCTCGCATGATCGTCTATTCCTGTGACGATCCGTGGAACCAAACCTGTGCGGATAATCCTGTATGGCTGGGCAACTTGAAGCGAGGGGCTGGAGTCGAAGATTTTCGGTCACGACAGTCGATTATGAAAACTACTGGCGAAAGTGGCAGTCTTGGCTAACGTCTTCGACGCAATTCTGAGAAGGATATCATTTAAGCACGGTCATCTTACTGGCTACCCGATCCACTATATTCCTAGAGCATTGAAGCGATCCCTCATTACTCTTAGCGTCTTCGAAAATTAATACTTAATATTTTCTGGCGACTTGCTCTCTAGTGTTTCCAGTCTAAACCAGTCACCATAATGCCCTCCGAAGCATTAGCATGTCCGGAAGAAAAACAACTGACATGTGATGTGGATTTGTGATTGAGCTAATAAACATAGTGTGTATCGAAATAATCATGCACCAGTATGACAATCCAGACACCACCTGGGATTGAAGGGTAATATATATATTAATCCCTGAGTCAGGATAAAGACTATCCCGCGAGGCCCGCAACCCCTCAAGTAGTCATTTAATTAAACCAACCCCAGCTGATAAGCCAATCCCTAACCTGAAATGCTTTTCTCACCAGCTTTCAGCAACAATTGTTGGTTCGGCCACCTCCGTGCCAAAGTTACCGGACGCCACTGGGAGATCCGTTGGAGTTCCTGACGAGTGGAGGGCGCTAAGCAATCTCGGGTCTCGGATGGAATGCCCTGATGGGTGAAGATCGACAGACCCTGGATCCTGTGGCTGTCGCGACTGGAAGAACGTGCCAGGAACGATGCTATCTTATCGGCTGCTCCGGATGCAATGTAACCTCGGAGTTGGGAGTCCTTGCCGTGTGCCGTGTTGGCTATCCTGTTTATGGCCTGATTGATAGGAGGCCTCCGACTAGATGATCCTGCAAGAGGAGGCCTGTAATAGAGGGGATAAATAGGTCGCCTTGTCCGGGGGTGTTGGGGGTTCGGACAGATCCTCTCTACATCAGTTCCCTCTGTAAATAGGTTGAGGCGGTAGCCACAGCACCGACAGTCACCATGGTTCAATTCAAGGTACGGACCGAAAGCCCCCGCCATTGTGAGATTATGGAGCTAAACCAGGTATCTAAACTAGAGCATCATCGCCCTTCTTCCCCTCTTCCTCTCCGCCTCTCTCGCCTCTCCCTCCGCCAGGAATAACCTCGAAAGCCGCGAAAGCTGCGAGTACACCTGCGGAAGCACCTGCTACTGGTCTAGCGATGTCAGCGCAGCTAAGGCCAAGGGATACTCTCTTTACGAGTCTGGGGATACTATTGACGACTACCCGCACGAGTACCACGACTATGAGGGGTTCGACTTCCCCGTCAGCGGCACATACTACGAGTATCCTATCATGAGCGACTACGATGTTTATACTGGTGGCTCGCCTGGAGCGGATCGCGTGATTTTCAACGGAGACGATGAATTGGCGGGTGTGATTACGCATACGGGTGCTAGTGGTGATGACTTTGTGGCTTGCTCTTCCTAGGAAGGTGTGGTGTAATTAGAGTGGTGTTATGTGGAATGTCATGTTGATGATAGAGACAGAGTTGCATATTGTGTAGGGCACAGACTTGCGATTCTAAAGCGAGAAAGAAAGTAGACTGGTAAGGGTGGGAGTTTCTTAGGAAGGGTAAACTGCGGTCGCATTACTTTCTTTGCTCTACGTGACTTTCGAGAAACTACTGATGCTCTTGTGCAATAAAACGCCGGTTGATATTCATGTTGAAAGGTAGAGCCCAGAGAAGACAGTACTATTGTGTAGATGGCGTCAGTCTCACCGGGATGTGCGCATCCTCCGTCAGCTGCTCACAACGGCTCTTGTACACGCGACCCTCCTTCATCACTCCAAGGACACATTCCTCCGGCCGATCGAAGATAGTGACATCCTCGAGCGGGTTTTTATTGAGGAAAAGTATGTCCGCCAAAAACCCCTCTTCAATCTGTCCGATCCGCGTTTCCTGACCCATCATCTTCGCCGGGTTGATGGTCGCGCTCTGCAGGACAGCCAGTGGGCTGAGAACCTGCGCTCTGAGCGCAAACTCCCCAGTCTGAGCTATTCCCAGAGGACCAAGCAGGTCGCTTCCATAGCAGAGAGTGACTCCCGCGTCGGACGCAATTTTCAAGCTCTGCATGCCCGCACTCAAGACCTCGGTATTCTTAGCCTGCCCATCAGGGGGGAGATAGCCCCTCCAACGTTCAGAATCCATCTGCGCGTATGAGATAAGTGTCGGAGTCAAGTAGATACCCCGTTCCGCCATTATCTTAGCGACTTCCTCAGTGATGAAATTGCCATGCTCGATTCCCTTTACACCATTGTCGATACAATGCATAATAGCCTTCGGGGTATAGGCGTGCGCTGTAACATAAGTGCCTGCATTTTCAGCACATTCTACCATAGCCTGGATCTCGGCTTTGGTAAACTGCAATTGGTCCAACCGATCTGTCGGGGTCGACACTCCACCGGAGCCCATGATCTTGATGAAATCAGCGCCCGAGCGGATCTCCTCACGAACCGCTGTCATGCATTCCGGCACTCCATTACATATGCGCCCGAGCCCGTTGGTGTGTCCTCCACAGCATTGCACGTGGTCGTGCGCGGCGCGAATATCCCCGTGGCCTCCTGCCTGCGACAGGGCGTGTCCGGCAATGAATAATCTTGGACCGGGAAATACGCCATCTTCAATTGCCTGTTTTAAGGCTAGTTGCGCACCCCCGCAGTCTCGTACGCTCGTGAATCCGCGGTAGAGCATCTGCGTGGCGACGTATGGCTGTCGCAAAAGGGATACGTCGTTGAAATTGCCAAATGCCATGGACAGATCTTTGAAGCCGGGAACAGCAACAAAGTGCACGTGGGCATCAAATAACCCCGGGCAGATGTACATGCCATCACAATTTATGATCGTGTATTCTGGGGGCGGCGGACGATGTGAAGACGCTGTGATCACAGTAATCACTCCCTCACATATCAGAACGTACTGATCTTCCAATATTGTACCGCTTGCGACCTCGACAATATTGGCATGGGCAAGGATGTAGAACCCAGGGTCTGGACGGAGCCAGGGTTTGATATCTGTAGTAGACGCCATGGTGAATGAGGCAGAGTGGTGGAATTGAATTGGCAGGAGGGAAGATAAAGGAGGAGGAGAGGCAAAGAGGGGAAGCGCTGGAAGATAATGAGGGGTCGGCATTCGCGGCCGACGATCGGCGATCAAAAATCCTGATAAGCAGATAGTCATGTCGTCTTTATGATAAGTTCAAAGAGCCTCGGAGCTGTGCCGATCAGCCTGCTATATTGAACACTACGCAAGGTATCTCTCTAAGGACCTAACTCGCATCTCTGGAATCCATTTACTCTCCAGATCACTTTATTTCCGGCCCCGCTCTGCTTGGAGTTTCAGGAAAAATAGGGTCTCCGACGTTCCGGACAATGTAACAAATTGGTAACATCAGAGCAGACTAGAGCCAGTGATGGCTAATAGATAACAAGGAAACACCGAAAGAGTCATCGAGTACCTAGGAAAAACCTTCCACCCATTCGCGCACCCACTTCCGGATCCATTCATCTTGGACCGCTGGAACGCTCCGGAGTATAGCACTCGATTTGGCTGTCTTTTCGGTCTCCGGTAATGCATGTATCGCATCACTGGCAAATACATCTCGATAGAAGTCCAGCATGCGCATGGCGGAATGTAGACCAGACATCTTTTGCCGGCATGAGGTCCGGTTTCCCTCTTCCTCCTGGTTTTGGTTATGGGGTTGATCAGAGCCTGAAACATGTGAATCATGCTCGATTTGGATCTGCTGTATCCATTCATGAAGTGAAATGGGTTTCAAGCGTTGACCAGTGATATTTTGTGTCTCCTCGATGATGATACTTTGAACGACACACCAGTCGACGGGGTGAAGATTTACAGGATGAAAGACCTGGGGTCGAGACCCCACTTCATTATCCCTTCTAGCATCGTCAAAACCATGGGATAGCGCAAGATCGACGAGGATGTCAGATAATAGGTCAACGGGAATCCAGTCGACGTGACTCCAACGCTGCCCCAGAGAGTCAGGAAGAGCGCCTATTTGTAGTGATGCGGAAACCAGGCCTGATAACCAGTCGTCAGGGCTCCACACGGATGGATGATTCATTGTGCCCGGGGTGTATGTCAGACGAGCGATAGATATGGGTATGCCTAGCTGGTCATGGGCGTAGTGAAGAAGCTGCTCTCCGACGTATCTACTTTCGCCGTAGTTGTTAACACTGGGCTGATCCATCTGTATAAATTGCTCAGGCAATGTCCCGGAGTCGCCGTGCAGCTTGAGAAGGGCACCAATGGAAGAGACCCAGAAGAGCTTTGGCCGGGCAAATGCGACCGCACAGAAGTGGAGAAGGTTAACCAGGCCGACAAGATGGGGCTTAAATGAGGAGAATGCCCAATTGAGGTTGATAGGCCATGCGTTATGCAGAATGATCGTGACACTGTGCCGAAGATTGTCAATGATACTAGGTGGGAGGCCAAGTTCCTTCTGCGATATGTCAGCTTCTAAAAAGGTAATGTTCAGCGGATCCAGATTGGTTCCAAGTCGTCGGCATTCGTTAGCATCTATCTGGTGCGCAAGGCCATTGTGGACATGTGAAAGACAGTAGACATGGGCTACCGAGGGATGTTTGAGAAGCATGTCAAGAATGTATGGTCCTGTCCCATTTATACTGTCGGTGAGCATAACAGAATGTTTTTCTTGCCGGCAATATGAAGCCTCCACCCGAGGGATTTGGTCGATCAAGCCTTGATACATCTGTAGCGCTTTGTATCTCTCAGTTAAGCTCTTACTTACGATACCCTGCTGATGAGCCCCATGATTTTCGCAGCTTTTATCGACCAAGGCGCGTGTCAGAGCTGTCACGGAAGGGTTCGCATACAACATCCCGGGAGAAACGCCCGTGCAAGGCAAGCCTTTTTTAAGGATTCGGACCACGCTTAAAGTTTGTTGGGAGTCCATTCCGTGAACATAGAAATCATCGCTCTCATCTAAGCAGTCCCACTCTGTGATTCTTAGAATTGCTTGTTTGGTGAATCCAACCACAGAATTGTGGCTGGTCATTTGACCTGAGCTGAGAATGCCTGGTCCCTCTTCAACGAAATGGTCAGATGCAACGGCTGCATGATGTGCCTCAAGCTCCTGCTGGTATAGCTTGATTGTCGCTGCACGCTGAATGGCTCCCTTTGCAGAACGTCTCATTGGCTTTGCAAGTTCAGTAAACAGGACATGTGTTTTTTCAATGCGTGCATATGCGGGAACGATGTGATTCGCTTCTTGGATGATGGGCCATATATCTTCCAACAATGCATTACGATCCTTTGATTTTCTTTCCCACGCATCATTTTTCATCTCCACCAATAGTATCGGCTGGAAATGCTGTGACCCTGTAACTAGAGCGCCCGTGATTACGCTGCTGCGAGATATAATGCAGTGCTCCATGCCGACCGGGTTGATCTTCTCCCCATTGGTAAGGACGATAATATCATCTCGCCGGCCACGCCAGGTCCACAATCCCAACTTCCCGGGTGATGGATGGCGCTCAAAAAGATCCCCCGTTGCATATTCGTTTGCTTCTGTGAAACCAGGATATGTAAAGACAAGCTGTGTCTCCACGAGTTTCTGACGAACCATGCATAGTTCATACAGATCATCCATTGCAGGTCGAAACTGTAAGCCCATATCGGGATGGAATTCAAGATACTTCCAATCCTTTGGTTTGCGATATGAATTGGACAGAATCATGGGTAAAAGCCCTAGTTCTGTCGAACCGTATTGGTTGTACAAGGGAATCTTGATTGCGACCACGTCCCCTACTTGTTGTGGGAGGTCTCCACCGCAGTAGATAATACAATCTAAGCTTACGGCACAGTATTCTAGCAAATCAGGTTCTTGTACCAGCTCTTCCAGAATCGATGGAGGAACGATGGCTACCTTAGCCTTGCTTTGCTTTATACCCTCCACCAGTCCCGAGGCTGATGGGATCGCTCCTGAAAGTGGGGCAACCATGACAGTGCTGAATGGTAGGGCATTTAGAAGTAGGCTAGCCAAGCAGGCACCCTACACTGCGTTAGCTTTATTCTCAAGTTGCACGAGGGGTGGGTTAGCCCTGGGCCCAAAGGAGAGCATACATGAAAGGGAGGAAGAACTAGAAACACTCGCTTCCCATAGTAAACCCTATTCAAACATTGGTATTCCTCAGGAGCATCCAAGCAATGCATCGTCATCCCCTTCTTTGCCGTATCATGCGTAAATGTCATAGGTCTGGGTAGTCTTGTTGAGCCGGAAGTATGGATGGTCAACAGGGGTTCGGACAAAACCTCTCCGAGAGACCTCGAGAATGAAAGGGGTGGATAAGCTGTGTCGAGGAGCTCTTGTGTTGTCGGTACATCCAACACGTGCATTTCGTCTCCCTCTAAAATTCCGAGAATATGTGGGGGACGTGGTGTAGGGCAAATGATAACCTTGCACTGCATCTGATGAAGTAGTTCGCGTTGCACAGAGGCACTGTTCCTGGGCGAAGGGAAGAACATCTATACCAACATGAGAAACTGCATTCACTCAATCTTTAGGGTAATTTGTATTCCACATACCGAATATCCAGCTTTGATGGATGCCAGTGTCAGCACACTATATCGCATATCATTCGGTCCGATGTAAGCAAGTTTCGTCGACCCGTTGCCCATTTCGAGGTTCTGAATCAGCCATCTGGCAACTCCATTGACAGCATTAGCCAGATCATGGTAGGTAATCTTGCGGTATCCCTGGCTATACGATGATTGGGATAGGGGATACTCTGCGAAGACAGCATCTGGTCGAAGATGAGCATAATGATCCAATATTCCTGGTAATGTGTGCTCAGTCGGATCAAAGTCACTAAGGAGAAGGTGTTCCATCATGGTCGCTGTATCATAACAGTCTGGCGCTGTGTTGTGATTAAGTGCCAAAGCATCAGTTGTGCATACGAGGCATCAGTCTCCAGGCCACCACTACCTCGACATGAGCACTCTCTGCACGATTTTCTGTCCTCGAACTCTATTCACTGTGTGATATTCGCCACCTCATCGAAAGGAAAGATGCCCTGACATCAATATCATGGGTTGTTCTCCTGCTATCATGCCACAATACTGATGTAGTGCGGGGGGTGGTATTGCAATTACGGCTAATACACAAGCGTTTGCAAATTCGCTCGTGTGTACTATAATATTACGAACACGTCACCACCATAACAACCTGATTGCAGGAATGCTGATCTTCTCTGATCTTCTGCACGGATAAAAAGCGGTAAGCCGTCTCCTGTGTCACCTAAACTCAAAGTCCTATCGACGACGTGATTGGCCTGCGGTCTGGGCCCCCTTTATACTCATTGCAGAATCTGATTATCCATTGTGATTACTACATGCGGCAAGGGGACGAATGCCATTCTCGGATCAGTGCATACGGTGAACCTTTGATTAAACAGGTGTGATGATGGCTTGCTGAGTCTTATGATGGAAGTAAGGGTAGCATGCTTGGCCGTGTCTTCTCTGGAGAATCCGCCACTATGGGGATCATCGTAGTTGCCTTCACTTACAACGTAGACCCTAGCATTAATTAGTTCTACGTAACCTTCATGTATCCCCGCTCCAGACGGAGCTATCCTTTTACAAACTCGGAAACTTTACGTAAACATGGAAACCACAAAATCACCCGCATCCGTCATTGTGATTGGTTAGCAAGCTGAGAACCTGAAAAACCACCGTTACTGACCAAAGCAGGTGCTGGAGCCGGCGGTATAGCTGCGGCGGCTCGGTTGGCCCTTGAAGGCTTCCAGGTGAAAGTGGTCGAGAAGAATAATTTTGTTGGCGGTAGATGCTCACTTCTTCACAAAGATGGATATGTATGTATTCTTGTTGCAGCAAATATGTTTTCCATTAATCTCAGCAACACGGAGGAAGATGTTTTAACATGCTGAAAGAGATACGACCAAGGTCCCTCTCTAGTGCTTATGCCGGAGTTCTTCCGCCAGGCATTCCAGGAGCTAGGCACTTCTTTGGAGAATGAAGGTATTCATATGCTTGAGTGTGAGCCCAACTACTGCATCTGGTTTCCAGATCATGATCACATCGAGCTATCCCGCGACATCCCCCGTCTCGAAGCGCAAATGGAGTATCATGAGGGGCCACAGGGTTTCAGCCGTTTCTGTACTTTCCTTGCCGAATCGGGCCTGCAATATGAGCTTTGTAAGGAGAGTGTCTTCAAACAAAGCTTTCCCACCCTAAGAAGCATGTTCCATCCGGCGCTTTTCAAAGGTTTCCTTCATATCCGGCCTTGGACGAGCATGTACAGCCAAGCAGCCAAATATTTTCGATCGGAAAAGATGCGTCGCGTTTGGAGTTTCGAAAGCATGTATCTCGGGATAAGCCCTTATCGCGCCCTAGGTGCCTTCAGTCTCTTGCCTTACATTGAGATGACTGATGGAATCTGGTATCCGAGAGGGGGCTTTCAGCGCGTATGGAACTATTTCCCTCAAAGAAAGGCACAGTTGAGCTTATTTACTACCACAGGTGCTACATGCCCTCAGTGAAGTGGCACGTCGCCTTGGGGTAGAGTACTTATTGGATAGCCCGGTAGCCAAGATCGAGCTCAGTGATGATAATGCAAAAGCAACAGGTGTACGTTTGGAAACCGGCGAGGTTCTACAAGCTGATATCATTGTGGTGAATGCTGATTTGGTCTATGCTTATAACCATCTTCTGTCTCCCTCCCGCGAAGCTGAACGCCTACGCAAGCGGTCTACCTCTTGCAGTAGCATTTCATTCTACTGGGCCTTCGATGAGCAGATTCCTGAGCTTCGACCTCATAACGTGTTTCTGGCAGGCCGGTTTCGCGAGAGCTTTGATAGGATCTTTGACGATCATGACGTGCCGGAAGACTTCTCCTTCTATGTCAATGTCCCCAGCCGGGTAGATGTGACAGCTGCCCCAGCAGGCAGGGAATCCGTCATGGTTCTCGTCCCGGTTGGTCGATTAGTCGACACCCTGGGTCGTGATGAAGAAGAGAAACGGTGGAATATATTAGTAGCTCAAACGCGCGACATTGTACTTGACACAATCGAAGCACGTACAGGAGCTCGCAATCTGCGTGAAAAGCTTGTCCACGAAATTGTGAACAGCCCTCTTACGTGGCGTGAAAAGTTCAACTTGGATCGCGGAGCCATTCTAGGCTTATCTCATGACTTTGACAATGTTCTTTGGTTTCGTCCGCAGATGAGACATTTCGCTATTAAAGGTTTGTATTTTACGGGCTCTAGTACACATCCAGGCGCAGGAGTTCCCGCATGTCTGCTCAGTGGAAAGTTCGTGGTCCAAGAGATAATGAAAGACTGGATGGAAGCGAAAAGTACCACCAAGGATTATAGACGCTGGGTAATGTTGGCGATGGCGTTTGGGCTTCTGACGGTTCTCTCTATAGCAAGGTCGTCCTACCGGTGGTAGTGGTGCTATCTCAAAACTGAGCGGTGGCCCCATTCCAGACGATACTCAGGTTACAATTTAACATGTTGCTTTTTATTTAATTATTCCCCCACCCCCTAACATCCTAGCGACTACATGGCCAAGAAACGTACAAGGAACGTATCCTCTGTTTTCAGTTATGCGTTCTACCGGCCTTTATGGTCGCTTTGCATGATGGGTGTCAACCAAATTGGCGGTGACTCTCAATCAGAATCTCAATCAGAATCTCTCCAAGTAAATAGCGCTCAGGTTTCCGGATCTCCTTATGATCAGTCCCTGATACCATCATTGTCGTGGATATACCGGGCCAATTTTCAATGCCTTAACAGTGATACCGCGTCATCTCAGCTGGACACTTTTACGCAATACCAACAAATATCCACTAGTCATAGGCAATCCTTCGCAACCGGGCATCCGGCGCGTATTAAAAATCAGTATTTAGATACGTGGACATATAGTCAACCGACTTCGATAGTAGTGATTCTTCGTAGTACCACGTCTTACTGAACCAGACATAGAAAGCTATCCAAGCAACTCGGGTAAAGCAAAGTTACACACGCCGTAGCCAAAACAACAACCAACGTAAACGTCACCCAAATATAGGCAGTCGCGAACATAATCCGTTGCTCGAGCCTTGTGTCCCGTAAGATCCTCTCGCAGACCAACTTACTTCCTGCTAAGCAGACTGGGACCCCTGTGCCGGGGTGGGTGCTAGCTCCTGCAAAGTAGAGTCCATCTATCGTCGGATGTTTGAGACTAGGCCGAAAGCTCAACATATTGAAGAACGAGTGCGAGAGCCCAAGTATAGCGCCACGGTCCAGGTTAAATTTATCCTTCCACGAGTGAGGGGTCTCATACGTCTCGTGTAGCAATTTCGACCTCAGGTTTCGAAGACCAGTCCTTTCTTCGATTGTTCTTATAACTAGATCACGTATGTCTGGGATAATCCTCTCCCAGTGTTTCTTATCATTGGTTCCCGGTTCCCTCAGGCTCCCTACTGGTACTAGCACAACCACGGCGTCTTTGCCAGGTGGGGCTGCTGTTGGGTCAATCCGACTGGGAACATTCAGATAAAACGAGGGTTCATCTGGGATACTGTGGTCAACGAATATGGAGTCAAAGCTCTCACGATATCTCTCTGCAAGAAATATATTGTGGGATTTGAGCTGTGGGAAGGTGGTATCAAATGCCCAAAAGAAAGAGATACTGCTACAGGAGGTATGGCGTTGTTGTAATGACCTGCCGTATCCTGATTCTGGGAGTAGATTATTGTAGGCATACACTAGGTCTGCATTTATGACAACCAGATCAGCGTGTATTTCTTCGCCTGAACTAAGCCGAACACCTTTTGCCGACCGTTGGTCCGGAGCTAGGAGAACAGAGTCTACTGGGGCCCGTAGACGGTAGTCCACGCCCAGTCTACGACCAACGTCTGCAAGGGCTTGTAGGACCTGGTGGTGGTTAGTTGTTAATTTGTATTCCTAATGTGTTATTGCGCGGAATATGGGAGGTGTCTGATCTGGTGTGATTGACAGGTATAACTCACCTTTTGAAACCCACCACGGGGATACCAAATTCCATCGACGGTCTCGGAGTACTGCAACAGGCTATATGTTCCAGGTGCCTGGTATGGGCTCATACCCATGTACATAGAAGCAAATGTCCATGCTTGCTTCATCTTGGTACTAGTAAAGTACTGCTCAACGATACCAGCCATGGTAGTCCATGGGCGCATAGCGACGAGCGCCCTCAGGACATTGGGCTGCAGAAGACTGAGGAAGTGTGGAAAATCTCTGTTCATTATATAGTCCAAGGTCAAATTGTAGTATTGACCAGTCTCCTTCAGGAAGTCCAAAAGCTTAGAGAGGCCCGTTATACCCTCGTGTCGGATGACCTCCTCTTTCAACCGTGTTATATCAGAAGATAGCTCCACAATATCATTATCTGGAAACCAAATGCAGTAGTTGGGTTCGCATTTCAGTAGCTCTACACCTTCCGAACTGAGGGATGTTCCAAGATCTTGAAAGGTTCTGCTGAAGATTTCACGCATTAAGAGAAGAGATGGCCCTTGATCGAAGCGCTATATTGCTTTAGTTTAGTGGTAAACTTTTGCAACCCGAGAACTTACGTATCCATCTCGTTGTATAATAGAACATCTCCCTCCAACAAAGGCATGTTTCTCCAGCACAGTCACCGTGAATCCCTCCCGGGCAAGTCGCGCGGCAGTTGAAATTCCTCCCACACCCGCGCCTGTGATATTCTGATCAGACACTATGGCACCGTCGAAAGCAGGCTGCAGAGGCTTTGTTTAGAATGTACATACCGACTACGAGGGCGGACTTTTTGGCCATCGTGTAAGTGTACTTGACGTCTCCTTTGGACCAATGTGTCAAGTTTCGGGCAGAATTGAAGTAGTGAAGATGGTTGGGAGAACACAATATTACATTGGATGATAGTACAGTGGCGTCGAGTAACGCTGCTGCTCAATCCATCTGACTAAATTGTATGTGCTCCTTGCAGACTTCTTCATCTGGAGTGTATCTTTTTATAAAAGTTGCAATTACCGTATCAGCCCGGTATTGTAAATTGCAAAAGTGGGGCATTTACATGGCACTCAGACGGATGGAACGTTCTTTTACTGAACTTTGCCATCCTTGTTCCAACCTTTGCGTGACCAAGAAAAGGAGGGAAGAGGGACGATCGGCAATTTACTCACCCACCGAGATATAGAAGACTTTTTCGCGTGAGACGCTGAATCAAATGTCAACCTTGCAATTCTACTGTCTTCCAAAGCCCGATCCTTGCTGCACCGGTCCAGAACTCCCCGCTCTATGCACTGAGATGGCCACCTTCATGTCTATGCAACCCTGTTACAAGATAGGTCTGCGGCATACTGTGTCCAGTGTTGTGATACGGTGCCTGAGGGATGAGAATATAATACGCCATGGAGGGGTACTTGCAGCAGAGCCCATGCTTCATCATGCAGACGTAATCCATGCAGGGGTTTATGGCCAGACCAAACTACCTGAGGATGAGTTGTTTTCTGTGACACTGCATCATGTATTGTATGGTAGGACAGCATGGATTCTTTCAGGCAGACCTAGATAACTGGTCATGGCTACATATGGACGAATGGATGCATTGTTGTAGTCTCGTAACGGATGTGCTTCATCCTGCGAAGCTAAGAGTCTTCAGTAGCTGTACTATGCCATACGTAGTACTCAAAAAAGCAGCTTGCGGTGGTATAAGCAAATTCTTCACTTCAGGCTGATGAACCACAAACATAGAGGATATACATTCTGGGTTCTACTTGCATCACCGCACACTGTCCGGAGGATCCATGCATTTATTGAAATATAGCTTTGATATCAAGCCATCATGGCACGATAGGTGACCAGTAACCGACGCCACAAAGACAGCTTAAGCTTCCTGACCGGCCCGGAGCGATGTCCACGCTTGAGAGCAGCCCCAATCTCCATGTAATTTTCGATTACCGCGCGTAGAGGGCCTTGAAGTTCTACCGGTAGGGAGGCTAGCGCTGGTAATGAACGATCGTGGTAGTCCTGGGCTTTGATAAGGACACGCTCCCTCAAGCGCTCAACAGATTCAGTCTGTTGACCTCTGATTACATCCGCAGGCGTGATACCTTCTTGCTTGAGCCAGGTAGTAGGAATGTAAACTCGACCTATCGCAATATCTCTTTCAATGTCTCGCGCTATATTGACCAACTGTAGCGCTCGACCCATCATTTCTGCTGCTGCCAGGGTCTCATTTTTCACTGTATCGTTCGTAGCATGTGCATAGCAAGGGAAATGGTGTACGAGCAAGTCTATCATGCTTGCAGCCACTGTGCCTGCGACATGATAGGCGTAGTTGTCCAAGTCTTGCTCTGAATGAATGGGGAACGAATTGGACTCGCTATCAAATCTTAGATCCGTGCGGAATCCTTCAAGAAGACTTTGTAATGGCTCAATGCGCAGTCTTGTTGCGGGTAAATTTTTTATCGCTTGGGTGAGCTCCGGGTACTTGGAGTATCCTTGTTCAACGCAGTCCACCTTTGATGTAAAGCGACGTTCCAGCTCCAAAGCGCACTGGTCGAGGACATCTGAGGCATTCTTTCGATCTCCGGCCTCGTCGACCAAGTCATCTGCAATTCGGCAGAAGGAATAACTTCGACGTAAATTAGGTTCACTACTCATTCAAAACAAGATTTGTTGACGTACAGCATGATTAAGTCGATCCGGAGTGGGCCCTGAAACATAGCAGAACCAAGATACATACTCTGACTCGAAATAGCCAGGCGGCAAACCGATTTTTCAATGCAAGCCACAAAGTCATCATCTAGGGTATGTGGCAAACGAACAAAATCGTGTAAGATATGATTGTATGAAAGAGGAGTATTGATAGTACCAGGCGAGCTAGCTAGTCGACCGTGTGTCAGGGCTATTGCAAAGTCACTTACTGCAATGCCAAACACTATCATCATATTTGTGAGCAAAAAGAATAATGCTTCTCTGTGATGAAATTTAGCAAAGTCTCTCCTGGCTGCTTCTCGTGACATACTCGATATCGAGCCTGCCCCATATTTGCCAGTCAAGCTTAGTTCCAGCCTGAATAACCCAAGTTCCCTGCTGCAAAGCATATGTGTCAACTGCCCACAAGAATAATGTAGGTAGTATCACAGATATCAGTATCATCTGTACTGGGAGCTGGACTATGAAGCCGCCTGCGAGTAGCCTGCATACAAATTAAGATTAAAAAGGACTCCTTCATCTCCTGTGGACTTTACCATTGTAATAAGAGAACTGTGCAGGCCCAAGCGAGAATGAACCCGAGGTAGGTGTATCTACCCCCATGCCAGATGCAAATCATACCAGCCACAGTAAATGCAGCAAGAAAAATGATACCTAAAGCTCGATAGATTGTGGAGACCTGTCGCAGAAAAGAAGGGAAAACCAAATGACGTGTTAGCATGACATAAAGCATCCCCGTGTTGTAAATCTGAAACGCGACGAAAAAAACGTCTTCCACCGGAACGAGCAATATCCTGTAGCCAAACAATGCACTAGGATTGTAGGAGAAAATTTCGTTGTGGATCAAGTACGAATCCCATGGCATAGTCACTCCGACTGCAACCTATAAATATATTAGAGTAGCCAAAAGGGCTACAGTCAAGGTGAACGTACAGCTATAATAGTGCAAAGCTTTGCCCAGTCCAATCGTGTCATAATGGGCCAAGATAGTGCGGTAACCCCAAGCGCCCACGGGACGTTGGAGAAAAGATGTCTGCTGTACTCAGTGAAAGGTAATTGCTCGCATGGTAGATATTTGCCTACATGATTGCATACTCATATGGCATATTGAGTTGATTGTCTCCGAGCCAAGGGTGCAGTAAGGTACTCGATGATAGTAGCGAAGTACCTCTATCTAGTGACGGCGACAAGATAACCCATTGCACACTATATAATATTTGCCAATGCCAAGACAGTAAGATAACGAGGTCAAGGTACACCAAGGGGTGTAACAAATTATCGACATGACGATGGTCGATCATGACGCAGTTATACTTGAGCTAAAGAGGAGTGCAGTGTTTCTCAAGCTGCACTACAAGACGGCAGAGTCACTATGGGGTTATTTGGCGCTCAATCAAGGATCGACCTAGTTGAGCATATATCTACAAATGCCGTGGTACCCTGCCTTGTTGTTGTGCTACCTACAATTGCCGAAGGGTATTAGATGGTCTTATCAACGACCACTGATGACGTATAGCTGGCGTCGAGCCTGATTATATATCTTATTTTTGTCCAGCCGAGCTAGGCTAGATAAATTTGTTCCTTGCACACACCTTTTCAACATTCGGGTTGGTAGTCTTCAAGCTGTGAAGCAGCAGAGCAAAGAAATGGCAGGTCAGCAAAAGAATTTGTATGATTCCCTTGCTACTGAATAAGCTACTACGCTAAAAGACGATGAATAGGTATCTCCTCGGAAACTTTGCGCCCATCCAGACCACGGTGTCTGACATTACCTGTGTTGTGAAGGGCTCAATACCCGAAGAGTTCCACGGTGGTCAATACGTTCGGAATGGAAGTAACCCGCTTAAAGATGACACAAAGCACGATATCCACTGGTTCGACGGCGATGGCATGCTCACTGGCGTTTTCTTCAAGCGGGATCTAGATACACCAAGAGCCCAGCCGGTTTTCTCTAATCAGTATATCGAGACAGATGTTTACAGTGCCCGTAAAAAGTCCCCATGGATCTACCCCGTCATTCCTGGTATGAACACCATGATTGATCCAAGATCATCATCGATCAAAATAGCAATGAGCCTCGTACGCACAGCAGCGATAGTAACTGCATCGATCTGTGGTTGGATCGCCCGTCCAATCAAAAGAATAGGTACTGCCAATACAAGCCTCTTTCATCACGATGGCCGAGTCCTTGCCACTAATGAAATCGGGCCTCCCATGCGGGTTTTTCTTCCCTCATTAAAAACCGTTGGCTGGTTTACCGGAAGCCAAGCTGAAGGCGAGTCAGATCAGAAGGATTCATCAAAGCCCTATTTCGGTGCTCCTGGTCTTGAAGGGGTGTACAAAGAAATGACTACGGCTCATGTATGGAATCTAGGCCGACCCAGAAGCTTATTTCTTGGAAGCTGACATCATCTCAAGCCCCGTGTGGATCGCGAGACAGGAGAACTCATATTGTTCCATTCCACGTTTCTCCCGCCTTATATCAATTACTCAATCGTGCCGCAAGGCGTCCCTACCAACGCCACCCCGGCTTTGAACCAGGCTGTGCCGGGATTGAAGTCAGGGAAGCTAATGCACGATTTTGGAGTGTCTCACAGGCACACCGTACTTATTGATACACCTGTTTCATTAGATCCCTATAGGCTTCGCCATGGTAGACCAGCGGTCGAGTACGATCCCGCAGGCCATACACGCCTTGGGGTCTTTCCACGACACTCACCAGATAGGGTAAAATGGTATACAACCGATGCCTGCATAGTGATGCACACCGTCAATACATGGGACGAGAGGGACGTCAATGGCTACCGAGTTCACACCTTGCTGTGTCGCATCAACAGCCTTTCTTCTCTATACTGGATGGGTGGGCTGGACTGTCCGGAATGGGCCTGTCCATCTGAACCCGAGTGCCGCCTTTACTATTATCAATTTCCCTCCGCCGGTACCTCGGATAATATCAAACAGCAATGGGCTCTATCCGCGATCCCGTTTGAGTTTCCTCATGTCCCTGGACACTTGCAAATGAGTGTAACGAAATTTGTCTACGGCTGTTCGATGAGGGAAGGAAATTTTGCGACCACGCATAACAGCTGCTTCAAGATAGATAGCCTGGTAAAGGTCAACGTGGAGTCAATCCTCCGCAAGGGGCTTGACAATCCACCGTCCCAGGTTCATGGATGTGTTGATACTCGTTCTATCCATGAGATCATCAACTCCGAGGATCCTCATGACCCCATCAAAGTTTTTGCTCTGCCTCCGAGGCATTACGCACAGGAATGCTCGTTCGTGCCTCGCAAGGATGGTGTCTCTGAGGATGATGGATGGCTTGTTACGTATGTCTTTGACGAATCTTGGCTGGATGACCGCGGAGATCCTCTGCCGGACGCACATAGTGAGTTATGGATCATTGATGCGGTGAGCATGAAGGAAGTTGTTGGCCGGGTGATCTTGCCACAACGGGTTCCGTACGGAATGCATGGAAATTGGTTCTCGGAGGAAGAGATCTTGAACCAAAGAGGGGTTCATCATTATCGCAATGAGTAGATACGAGAGCTGCATGCAAATTTCTGGAAATTGGGCCTTGCAGATACGAGGTCTGAATTCGATATTCCTTCCCGAAATGGGTCCGTGCATTCTGCCGTACTTTTCAAAATCTCATACTGTAACTTACAACAGCCGAAACCGTGGTTTAGTGAAGATGATCGTCGCAAGGGGATTGGATGCATGCAGATATCTCCAAGAGGTAAAGCGCCTACAGACGACTAGATAACCTCTCGGAGGATATTCCCACACTAACTCATCTCTTGTGGCACGGTCGTGTAACCCTGCCTTTTCATCCGGGTGATAATCGGGTCAAAACCAGTGACGATTTGATAATGATTTAACAAGGATGGTCTGCATTGTCAGGAATGGAGAAGAGCATGGGTGGAACAGGGATTGCCTTGCAATCTGAGGGGGACGCCACAGAACAAGTATCTGAATAAAGCCAACAACCACATATTTGTCGTCGTCAGGATTCTTCACTACAGATAGTACTATAATCATTACAGTGACTTTGCAAAACAATATCGAGCTTTACCTTCCATTCCACCATGATCTTCTCCTCGACAAGGCCCAGGCTAGATGGTGTGACCCAATTGCGATACAATACCCTTTCCTAAACTGACAAAAAAAAACAGTTCCTACAGACGTAGCTATTTGGGACTGGCTCTTCGACTTCAGGCATCATACGGCACAACAACCTACAATAACGGGTGGCTTCAACGATGCTGCCACGGGTGTGCGGATAGGCCACCAGGATGTGAAAGCTTGTTCCACTTTCGCGTCAACCGCGTTAGTACAGAAACATGGGCTTAGGCCTGGTGACACCGTCATCATTCTTGGTCCGAACTCAATACATTATCCAGTAGCAATGATGGCAATTGTTCGAGCTGGTTGTCACCCACCCTTCATTTGACTCCTTCACCAGGCATGCAAGGTTTGCTGATTCTCATCAGGTGGCATTGTAGCAGGCGCATCCCCTGCTCATGGCGCGGATGAACTAGCATATCTTCTCCGTTCTTCAAGCGCAAAGTTAATTTTCACCATTCCTTCTTGTCTGTCTAAGGTCATGAGATCAGCAAACAGTATAGGAATCCCGCATGCGAGGGTGTTCCTGCTGGAAGGGCGACATGGTTCTCAATCAACCCTGCAAGATTGCATTGATATTGGAAGATCTTATGGCCCTGGCGGTCAGGAGGGATCGTTCAAAATACTGGATGGGAGCAGTAACCGGGATTCGTGTGGATACCTGAACTTCAGTAGTGGAACCACGGGACGGCCAAAAGCTGTAAGTTTCAAACTATTGCATTTGTCTTCATGTGTTTCTTTACTACCTGCTAATATAGAATGGCAGGTCATGCTGTCACATCATAATATCATCGCACAGTGCATGCAAGCTAGGCAAACATCTGACATCGAGAACACGAAGATGCTCGCCGTGCTCCCGCTCTATCATGGTAGGACTGTGTCCCCTCTGGATGTAATTTGGATATTGGCTGATAAACTTAAATACAAGTCATCGGATTGATCCATTTGATACACGTGCCCATAATGCGTGATATGGAGGTATTGATGCTGCCGTCATTTACCATGGAATCCATGCTAGACACCATTACGAAGCACCAAATCACGGAAGTGCCAATTGTACCACCCATGATTGTTCGACTTCTTAATGATCCAAAAGTGGCACAGTATGATCTTTCCCATGTTAAAACCTTCTCTTCAGGTGCAGCGCCAATTGCAACTGAGTTACTTCGGCAGCTAGAAAAAGCTTATCCCAGAACTGGCCTGAAACAAAGCTACGGGATGACGGAGACTTGTGGCGCCCTAACAACCCATTCCCTTAATGAAGAGGGATACAAGTATGCGCATACTGTTGGTACCATCATGGCTAATACAGAGCTGCGTATTGTTGATACAATGACATCAGTTCCCTTGGGCTATAATGCACAGGGAGAAATCCACGCCAGAGGCCCGCAAATAGCCATGGGATATTTAGGTAACGATGAGGCTACTAACGAGACCTTTCCTCCAGATGGTTGGTTACGCACCGGTGACGTTGGCTTCATTGACGGCGAAGGATTTCTGACCATCACCGATAGGATCAAAGATATGATTAAAGTCAAAGGCATAGGTGTGTCTCCTGTAGAGTTAGAGGATAGCTTGTTGCAGCACCCGGCTGTAGCGGATGCAGCGGTTGTAGGTATTCACGAGGAATACTCGGGACAAAGACCGAAGGCATATGTGGTGATGAAGGGAACATCTGACAGTAGAGCAACTGGGGAGATTTCTTGGCGCGTTGTGGGTCAGGAGCTGATGGAGCTGATCCGGTCTCAGAAAGTGCGTCACAAGTGGCTGTCGGAAGTTGAATTCATAGATGCCATTCCGAAAGTGCCCAGTGGTAAAATACTCCGCAGGGAGCTTCTTGAGCGCGCAGGGGCAGAAGGCATGCAGCAGTGCAGGATTGTGCGAGAAATTCAGTCAAGGGGGAAGCTGTAAATTTTCAGGGGCATATGTGCAACTGTCGCATCCAAAGCAAGCTCATTTTACTATAGCCCTAGTGATTTTTGCTAGTTAGCCTGACCACGCCCTGATCATATTCTTTGTATGGATTTCCTCTTCCAATATCAGCACCATTTACGCCATCCCCACATTCAACGAAATACTGCTTCCAAGGCAGAGTGAGGAACGCCAAGTGATTGTCCCTGCGAGTGTGCCGTTTTATGCAGCTTCCTGAGAACCCTTGCCTCATTAGCTCGCTATAGGCATAGCTTGGTGTGAGACTGGACGAGGAATGTTACCCCTCATGAAGAATATCGAAGCAGAGGCCTATACTCTCCCTTGTATATACCCTGGACTAGAAGCCGAACGATGTCTTCTCTTTCAAATCCTTCATTACTGCGAAGTTTATCTTTATTGACACTCAGCACTGACTTCTACCATGACGACCCACGTACTGAAGGTTTACCGAGCATCTCCCTCCGGTCAGATTCATCTTGACCATATCACCCGTCATCTATCCCCTGACGAGGCACTGGTCGAAGTAACGCATGCCAGTATATGCGGTACAGATAGCATCTACCTACATTCTCAGCAAGTTCTAGGCCATGAGGGAATAGGCATAGTTAGGGCGATTGGGGCTGATGTGCGGAGTGTTCGAATCGGCGACCGTGTGGGAATGGGCTACGTACAAAAGACGTGCGGGGAATGTCAGTCTTGCGAATCAGGTAAATGATTCTGCCTCATTCGTCGTGCAATATTGAGTATTGTCGCTTAGATTGATTAATTTCGAAGCTCTCTGTAGGCTGGGACCAATATTGCCAAAGAAAAGACCTTTATGGCATGTCTGACCCTGACCGCGGTTGCCTCGGCTTCAAAACTATCTGGAACGCGAACGCCCTTATACCCATTCCAGATGGGCTACACTCTGGTGATGCTGCGGCGCTGATGTGCGGGGGTGCTACTGTCTGGACTGTGCTTAGTCGTTACGGAATGCAGCCTGGGGATCGTGTTGGAGTATTAGGCATCGGCGGCATGGGGCATCTGGCCATCAAAATGGCAGTTGCGATGGGATATCATGTTGTTGCTTTCTCCGGATCGGTGTCCAAGAAGGCGGACTGCTTAGCCTTCGGGGCTAAGGAATACTATCTGACTAACGGCGAATCAATGGAAGGTCTGAGTACACTGATTGATGATCAAGTTATCCGCTGACAACTCATTTAGATATGGAGCCACTGAAGCACCTTCTCTTGTGCGGTTCAAGCTCGGAAGATTATACGTTGTAAGCCATTGATTTCATCTTCGTCACTTTGATCATCCAAACTAAGCATGGGCCCGGTAACAGCATTCTTTCTCTTCTGGCGGTACATGGAACAGTCTATCCATTGACAGTCTCTCTTCAACCGGCTACCATTCGAACCATCATGCTGATCAACAAGGGCCTTCGGATCCAAGGTTCTTTGGTCGCATCCCGTGGGGACCTAGCCAAGATGCTGCAGTTTTGTGCGGATAAGGGAGTGCGACCTGCTACAAGCAATTTTAGCCTTACTTCTACAGAGGTCAACCAGGCCGTGGAAAGCCTGCAGCGTAACACGGTTCGCTACAAGGCATTGCTTGTCGCAGATGAAAATCTACTGAAGCTCTGAGGAAATATGGCAAATTACAGTGGTTTTTTGTCCCCTTCAGCATAGGACAGTAGAAGCGTAGTGTAGTGCAATGTCATTGGATGATATTATCGTTCCTGCACTTCTGCAGAAGGGTCGACGTCACAAAGTATACATGGGATCGAGAGGATGGATCAAAAGTAGGCAGAAAGCTCTAATGTGGCCTACCACGGCACCACTGCTCCATCATATTGGTTCAATCCCTCTGCCTGCTCCCATCCGGGAACTCGAATATTGAAGAACTTCCCGTTATCTTCTTGGGTTGCAGGCACTATGATATCCAACAGACCTTTTACACTCTGTTCAGCTGTTATATCCGCCCTCTCTCCCCCAAGGTCTGTCTTTACCCACTTTTGAAGAAGTTAGTTCCATGATTGATTTAAGACACGGCTGTAGGAAACGTACACCCGGCGAGATTGCAAGGAACGTGAATCCTTGATCCGCGAAAGACTGCGCGTATTGCACGGTAAGCATATTCAGCGCTGCTTTACTAACTTTGTAAGCTGGCACTGGAAACAGTGCGAACCTGGGTGCCATTGTGATTGAGCCAAGTGTTGTCGAGCTGGACGCAGTTAGGATCACAGTACCCGATGTCTGGGCGAGGGGCAGAAGACATACATGTTCACCACTTTCTTCTGGGTTCCTTTCTTAAGGAGTGGTAAGAAGGCACTTGTCACTATATGGGCACTGGTGACATTGGTATGGAAGACAGAGTCTAAATTATCCCTATTGAGCGTCAGCAGCGCAATGAATGCAAGCAGGAGTATTGCAGCTAACATATTTTCGATACCGCCCCGGGTTGAGGGCATGGTACCCGCATTGTTGATCAGGACATCAAGGCCCTTCCCCAATAGTACGCTTTCAACGGTCGCAACCGCGGTTTGTATACTATTCTTATTTTCGACATCCATGGATACATGATGAACTCGCCCGGGGGACTGCGCCACGAGACGTTTTAGATCATCGGTCTGGGTACGTGCCGCTGCAAAGATAACGGAGACTTCGCTGGCGGGTTTGGAGGCCAGTGTACGGGCTGTGGCAAGACCAATGCCACGGGAAGCGCCTGTAATCAGGTAGGATGCCATGGTGAGAGAAAGATATAAACAATTAGATAGATTGAACACGAGATTTATCGTCCCTCCCTGGGCCTGTCTAGTATCATGTTCCAGTACGTGAGCCCGACTATATATAACGACGGTGGAGACCCGTATATGCACGTATCCACCCTCTGATGCTTTGAAATCAAAGCCAATAATTAACGAGTGAAGCTATTCGAACGTATAGTAGTATGGTACGCGAAGGGTAAAGAAGGACATCGTAGAATCCTTCGTTAACGTCATTAGTGGGGGCTGCTGGATTTGACGCCGAACACTGGATTTGTCAGAACGGCTTATTACAAATCATTCACGCAGTTCATCAGACCACATTGGCAGAGGGAGATTGGGGCTTCATTGTATTATACGGACCAAATTTTTTTTCTTATATCACTTTTTTCTGCTCATGGAATAATCCATCATTTGCATGGCGCCGCTCAGGCCGTGATCAGGGCAACTGGCGAACCGGAAGCGGCACAGTATTCGCAAGCTCCGACCGTGGAATGTGCCCGAATGCATGACTTCTCGCTCATCTACCGGAACTAGTCAGTTCAGTGGAGGTGGAGAGGGATCGAGTTTCCTACACTTTCAATGAATTATTCAAATAGGGTAGGGTCAATAACATGTGTGGAGTCATGATCTTGTTGTCGCTCTGGCACAAGCTGTCGCTCACCTCTGGAGGCCAACAATATAATACTTCCCATCCTAGATAATCATCTTCATCGTCGCCGAGTTCTACTCCCTTCTGCGTCAGTCGAACAAAAAGTCCATGACTACCACATCCTGAATCGGCCGTTCTTTTTCTTGTCGAAGCATGCTCCGACCATCGGCATGCAGAGCATCAATGATCTGCTTCCGACGCCTATTGTGCAGAGCATGCTGTATAGTCCGTTTCACGCCTTGCCCAGGATATGCAACGAGACCTAAAGAGCCTAAGTTCGATGTGTTAGCAAGCATTGGCACAACTTCCCCGCCCGTGTCTCAATAACAAGGTATGAGAGATCTCACCGTGCACTATCTTCCAACTGCCCCAAAACTGCCCTTCAGAAACATCGTCGCAAACCCCTTCACTCCATTATCTCTCGCCCCCTTATACGGTGGGTAAAAGATATCCGTCATTCCTTCGCCAACCCCAAAGGCAAAGGACTTAGCTCCAGTCATTGTTCGAAACTTTCCAGTCCTTAACTTGGCCGTAATCGTGAACCTTTGTCTCCATACAGACCGGGTAGAACGCGAAAGCTCTCTGCTAGTGGGATTTCGACGATAACGCCGGATACGTACTTAATTAGCAACTTGCCAGAGGCTTCCACAGAGGCTGACGTCATGGCGGCTGCTTTGTTCTGCTTTTGGATCTCGGTAGCCTCCGGTGATAGTGCGATGTCGTTCATAGATCGGGACTTGTGGATATGCTGACGCACAGATGGGGACTGGAGGAATTGTGTGTTCTCTATGCTCATGCTTGAGCGAATGGTGCCAGAAGGTGTTGATGGTCGCGATGTATGGCAGAACTACAAAAAATACATAATATGGAATAGAACAGAAATATGGGATACTAAAATTGGGTTTGATAACCCCAGACGGACACGACGAGGCTTGAATTGTTGGGAATTTACGCCTCATTCAATGGCTGCTTGTATACTACCCCATCGACGGTAGTAACCAGGGTCCCATTGGCGTGGAAGATATTAGTCATGGCATCGTCAACTACGTGAAATCCATCAGGGCTGGTTATCTTCGTACTAGACGAAACTCCAGTTCCGGTCAGGTTGGAATACCAGTCGAGGCGGGTAGATGAATAGGACACCATAGTGGCGGCCACCGACTCATATCCATTTATATGATGAAGGCCATCATCAGAGTAGTTATGGTAGGTGGCCGAAATAAAGTTGATAGCGGAAGTGGCCACGCTCTTTTGGATGACAACATGGGCCAGTCCTGAATAGAGTCCATGGAGCGTAAAGTTGCCTGGAGGCACATTCAAGACCTCGGGAATGCTGGTGTTGCCTGGGGTATATGGCAGTCCCCATGGTATGGTATCGGAAACAGGATGCACAGGGTCAGTATGGTAAGGCTGCCGACTGGTGAGTCGGGCCATCATCAGACGCGTGGTGCGGCCACCGGACTCAGTGGATATGGGGCATGGTAGCGGGTTGGTACCGCCACAAGCAGGAGGTATGACCATCTTCTGCCAGTACATGATCCGAGTTCCATCGGGAGACCACCGAGGATCTGCTCCAGCATTCCAGTTGGGGTCATTAACGCTGCCAGGCTGTCCGTTTCCATCGGCATTGACTTGTTGGCCGTAGTAATTGGGATCTTGGTCACCCTGAGCGTCCAGCAGCCAAGGTTGGAAGTAGCGTCGAACCCCATTGTTACGCACCGAAGAAACTGTAGCGATTGTAATCAGATCCGTCACAGGAGGAATACCACGCATCCCCGACAAAAATTCCATGCGGTCCGTGCCACGGGTGTCCAAGATGACCTGCCATCGGCCATCTGGAGAATCACCCACAGGGTCAACGTAGCCAGGGTGCGTGGTAACACGGCGGACGCGACCACTAGTCAAGTCAACAGCAAATAGATCGACATTGCAGGATTCCCAAGGACTGCCTATATACAGGACTTCGTTACCGCGGCCTGTGAATCCTCGGAACTCTCCCACGGTTATAGCCTCCCGGTTAATGTAAAGTCGATCGCCTGTGACGCTGTACGGTTGTAGTCCGTTCGGGGAAACGAGAACAGTCACATTCACGACGTCATATCGAGCACTGCGAGGAGACCCTGTAGTAGGGGACTCGTTGAAGTGCAGTCGGCCGAAATATCCATTCTCATTCAGCTGACCAGATGAGGTGGTGCTGTATGAGTTGAAACCAAGGTGAACGTTGTCGGGGTGCAAGCGTAGCTCGCGGATGCTGGCTCCCGACCCGGAATCATCGGCTTTGTTGCTCATTCGAATAGGATAGATGTATATCTGGTCTGGAGTGCACTCATCACTTGCCAATTGTCCCACTCGACATTCGATGATGTTGGTTCCAGCCATTGCGCGTCGACCGTCGGCGAAAGTCTGAGGGTAATCGCTCAAGGATGTACTGCCCACTTTGTTGTTTTCCGGTACACCACAGGTCACACACTTCCATGGGTCGCCAGTGGAGAAGTTGGTCCCATTCGTGCTGACCATGATCAACTGGACTCCCGTGTAGATGCTTGCTGGGTCTGGTGCGGCTGGGGCACCGGTGAAATTAAGGCTGGCCCAGACGTAATTTCCGTCCGGGGAGAAGTTGCCCCCTTGCATGAGAGACGTTTTCCCCATGCATCCAGTGCCATGAGGGTTAACTCGGCGGGTACAGGCACCGACATCGTCTGTGGGCACGACTGGTGGTAGTGGCAGTTGAACGACTTCAATCGGCTCGGGTGACGGAGTTGATTCAGCAGCTGCGGCGGATAGGACTGACGATACGATTCCCAGCGAGAGAGGGAGAAGCCCTCCAAGGATGGGGAACAGCATGGTTTCCGATGATAAAAACCCAGTTGACGACGAAACATGATTTCAGCAGCGTGGATTGAGCTTATATTTCTAATGCGCAGACGGGGGAAATCCAGAAACGTCAGGAGGTCTGGTGGATTTCGGGAGTTTTCCCGGCCAACGGTTGCCAATTTGCCATACGTGTATGCACGGGCCAAGTTGATGTTGATCGTCTGCCTTGTGGGTCGACGGACCACTAGAAAAGGGGAGTTATTCCTTGACGCCGACGGTTGATGGGGGATCTTCGGCGGGATACGCGTATGCACGGGCCATATAAGGGGGTGACCCTCTGATTCCACAGTCAAGGTGCCTCGGTGACGACACTAGTACAGGTCAAAGCGGACTGCCTTTCATGTGTGTCTTACAAAAGCGACTAGCTTGAGTTAAATAAGAAATCTCGTTTTGGCTGCATTGAGTGCAAGCGCCGTCGTATCAAGGTAATTTTAAACCCTTTGCAGAAACTGAGCGACATTGACGTGTAGAAAAGTGCGATGAACAACGGCCAGTATGTTCGCAACTTACAATAGAAGAGCAGACCTGTGAGTTCGCAGAACTACCAGCCCGTTGCATCAGACCCACCAGGTCTCAAAGACAGACCCCTTCTATGTCAGCATCCTCGACAGGGGAAACGACAGATTCGACTTCAACGGTCACTAATACTGTAGATCCAGCAGCAAACATGCTTCACACAGAACTCCTGTACCGGTTGTTAACCGAGACCATCGACTTGCTCAATGAACTCAATAACCCGGAGATAGTAAAGCCCCCTGCCGACATTGTCAGCTGCTCAATAAAGGTTCCATATCTTCTAGACGAGCTCTTGGCTCACGCTGCCACGCACCTCAGTGTCATCCGCCCTGAACAGCAGGACTATTACCGTACACACGCGGCCCACTTGCAGAATCATTGAGATTCTTTCCTGCAGCAAATGGTACAGATGATCCTGGAGCTTGAATAACCCAATTCATCTTTCCCTCCATGCTCGGGTTGCACACACTCGGCGAAACTCTCATCTACCACATTAATAACTTTGATGTCTTTCTCAACTCCTTTGTTCCTCAAATTCGCTTACATCAAGACATGCATGCCATTATCGGAGAGAATTGGAGCCCGTTATCACAAACTACTAGTCTCAGGCCAACCTTAGACTACAGAAAAACAGCTACAGACCGATGGCAGCCTGGGCCCAGGATGTAGCCACCTATTTGCACTCATACAGCAGTCCAACTTCGGTCCCTCCATCACTGAAAGGTATCAATAAACAACCGGAGCATTGCAATCGGCAATACACTCAATATCCCCCAATCACCCCGGAGGCGCTTGCATTACAGGAGTTTTGCATGGCCCGCCAGTGTACCGTCGGAATACATCGATCTCCTTGCTCTTCGTAGCCTCGACGCTCTTGCTGTGCTGGCACACTACGGAGTAGTTCTGCATGCTTATCGACAATGCTGGTTTTTGGGCGATGGCGGGCGATATCTCATCGAGTCGACTATTGATTATTTGGGGGCCACTTGGTCGGAATGGTTGGAATATCCGAACCAGGTGTTCAGTGCAGGCTCACACCAAAATTGGCTGTTCATGATATGTTTCTGTTGGCATTCCGGAAGCGCATGTGACACGCCCTCGGCATACAAGCGTCATAGAAAAAGATAATTCGAACTGTGAAAGTTCCGATATAGCAATATTTCCTTCGGCATCTACTCACAAAGGTGTCTGAGATGATCTACATGAGAGACTGTTCCGTTAGTGAACCTAGTATAGTTTACACCAACGCTTCCAATTGCTTTCGCAAAGCTTGCAATGTTTTCTCGTTCTCCTTCCACCTTTTCCTGGCCTCTTCGTAGTCATCATGTGAGACCCATCCTTCTTCACCACTTATTTGAGCTCTCAAATTATCATATTGACTGAACGCGGCCGCCCATGCCTCTGCCTGCTGCCGGCTTTGCTCAATCTCCTTCCTTGAAAAGTAAATGGGGCATAGGCTTGTTAAACCTCGCTGTGCCATGATTCCGTCCCACTTTTCATATACCTGTATCAACAGCTCTCTTAACGGTATTGGCCCGTCTTTGGAAGTTCGACTGACAATGTGAAATATAAAGCTAGTGGGGTCGTTATCGTCTCTCATTTGGTCCATGGCATGAACAAGCGATGGGTTGAATTTCCGGGAGGCAAGCTCGTAAAACTTCTTCAATCTGAGCCTCTCTAGCTTCTGTTCGGCTTCTTTCTTTTCGATGGTCGAGAGCACGTCAAAATCTGTAGGTAGTTTAGGCTGGAGAGCACCCCATATATAATCGTCATCACAATTGAATATCGAGGGGAATTTCGCCGTGAGGAATAGGGGCGCTATGTGTACTGCTTGCCAATCAATTATGCTTGTGATGTGAGTTGGATCATGTCCGTCGACAAATATGTTATCCACATGAAGGTCATGGTGCAGCAGGACGGGGGAATGGGTGCTATCTGACGGTAGTATGTGAGGGAGCACAGCCAGGAATTTCTCAAGAAGCTGTACATGTTCTTTTAGTCGCTTTGGTGTCATCCCCAAAGGTACAGTGATATGGTTGCTGTTGCTGTGTCCATGCCGTATACGAACAATCTCACGGTTTGCAACGGCGCAAAGATACCCCATGGCCGATTCCCCTGCGTTGTCAAACTTAGTAAGAGACTTCTGGGAGGTGACTGACACTACACTCACAGGGGCCTCTGTCAATATCTAGATTTCCCACTTCTTCTTCCCAGAAGGACCGATGAGTTGTCGGACCGATTACATATTTGGATCGGATATCATCATCTAGGCCTGGTAGAGCAGCAACGCTCCTTCCCTGCGGGAATGTTTTCCGATAATACAAGCTGCCATGTAGGGTAAATTTCGCTTTCATCAATCTGCGTTCAATATGTACCAAGTTCCTCACCAGGCGGAAGCGTTGAGCCTCAGACATATTATCCCAGACCTCGCTGAGCTGCTGCCCCTGTACCTTTTCCATAATGATATATTCCGCAGCAACTGGGTTAGTTTGTGACGAAGAACTCCACGAGAGAACCTGGGGAACAGGTATCTCGAGACTGGCTCGCAACTATGACGGCATTAGGACATTGGCTCGACATCTGGATCCAATCTCACGTACGAAATCAAGAGTTGCTACTTCACCAGCAACAATATAATGAGGATGGCCGGCGTTCGGGTTGGGAATTCTGGCCAAGACCTCCTTACCATCCGCCATCTTTAGAGAGAACATCTTGTTGAACATCCCCTCGCCCACTTTGTTCGTTGCGACACATTGGGTTCCAAGTATCTGTCCAGTAATTTGCTGGAGTGCTGATACATTAAATGTAATATAACGTTTCTCTAATTGAAGTCTTTCATTGTGTAGCCAACGACCGGATATGTAATTGAAGTAGTGACTGTTTGTGTCAGTTGGCTTAGTACTTGCCGATCGAACAAGGGACCACGGAGAATATCGCGTTCTGCTCGTTATCCGCACAGACAATAGACGAGGCCTGCCAAAACAAGCTCTTGTATGAAGCATGGCTTGTTTGATGGTCCTGCTGCCACTAAGGCATGAAGGGTGTCGCGTAGCTGAAAACTAGGTTTGCTCGACGACCAACGCGCTTACAGAACCCGGCTCCATCACATGACGGCCAAAAATGCCACCAGCGCAGACATTGCGCCTATTACTAAGCTGTGTAACCCTCCACTGGTGAATACCGACCTGCAGAGAAGTACGAGTAAACCCAGTGTGCTGCAGGCTTTAGCATCACTGATGTCCCAAGGATTACGGGAACCTCCCGGGATCCCTTGGGAAACCCCGAAAGCCTTTGCAGGACCTTGCTGGATATTGTGTGGGAAGCAGTTGCAACTCGTGGTAGAGATGACGACGGGAACTCCAGCTCTACCCCCGGAAGCCTTATTAGATGCCACAACGCTGGCTTCTTTATGCATTGTGGCTTCTTTATGAGAAGGACCAAACCCCGCTAGGTTTCGAAAACTCCGGTTTCCTGCATTAAAGAATGAAGTGGTTATTTTGGAAAATAGTGAGCCTTCGCCGGTTATTCAAAGGATCGCTATGGATCTTGCTAGTGTGACAGCACGCTAATATAGCTTGAGGACATTGTCTTGCACATACGGGCTTATGCCACATACGTTTGAGCTTTACTGACCAGGCGCACTACGGCTAGAGCTTCACATTACAGATGAAGGAATTACGAAGATGGACCGTGGACCCTTTTTACTTTTTCTTTGTTCTTTGTACCCGAAAGGGAATCTGAAGGATTTAGGGCTCTTGTTCATAGTCCGGCATAACACAGTCTACAACGACTGCTGACCAAAGGTCTTTCAATATCTTTTCTTCTATGGCAACATCGACTTGGCACACTGATGCAGTCTCATATCCATCGTGCCTAAACAATAGTGACCGTTCCGCGCTATGAAATAAGTTCTGCAGTCCTTATCCGCCGCGCAAAGTAAACTGCAAATGCAATGATGCAGGAATTACAACCATCAAGTCTGGCGATTCCTTGAGAAAGTCTTGTTCAGTCTGCCCTGGTGCCAATGATACATCATATCTCCGAAAGACCTCGGCGGTCACACGCCTTAACTCCATCATGGCAAGTTGCCTTCCTGGGCACGCATACGGGCCTCGAAAGTAGTCAGATATTTTAAGTATAATAAGGTAGCTGTGGAAGGCGTCTCACCAGTTTGGAAAGGAATGAAAAGTGATCGGTTCTTTACTAGCTCAGGTCTTGTAGTCCAACGCTCGGGGAGGAATTCTTCAGGCCGCTCAAATGAGCGTTCATCTAGAATACATTGAGCATTATGCTTACGAAATATCGCGTTTGGAATAAGGATATACCTCTATGGATGGAGTATATAGGGATCTGGACAAGAACGTTGCCGGGAATATAGTTTTCCCCTATGCGGATGCCTTCCTTGGGGGTGATGCGTTGAAACCCCGCGGCAGCGGGCGGATATAAGCGAAGCGTCTCATATATTACGGCGTTCAGAAGATCTATTTTCCGCAGGTTATGCTCGCTCATGTCGGGAACATCGTCCAATGCTTGCTGCAACTTGTGTGCAAGTGCACGATCGCGCGCTAGGTTGAAGAAAACGTTTGTAGCCGCGGAGAATGAAGTATCGCTATGATCGAACATGATAGTTAAACATGGAGCGAACGGCCTCATTCAGTGACGATAGCAACAGCTTACCTTCCAGCGAGTAGGGTAGAATAACCTAGACCATGTAGCTTGTAGGTATCTAGCCTTGTCTTTGGACTCTTTTCATGTGCACTGAGGAGCCAGGAAAAGATGTCAGGATTCTGTGATCCGTTCTAATACATGGACTCAGTGATTGGTAAATCATCAGCCGCAGGTAATGTGCATACCTCTGTTCTATGCCTAAAGTTAGTCTCGAGCCATGTCCAGAATCGCGTGTTCGTTTTTCGAAAAAAGGGTGTCTTGATCAGGAGGGCTGGTATCCAGGGCATATGTCTCAAATATCCCATCATAACCGTGTCAGATTGAATAGAATCCAGTAGGAAGGTATCTCCCCCTTCCTCGGAAATTGTATTGAACGGTCTACCGAAGATAAGATGGCCCATGATTTCGAAACTGTACCGCTTTAGCCAGTCGGTTATGTTTAGTGGATTTCCCGATCGGCTCTCAATTATCTGCAACAGCTGCTCGGTGCATTTGGCTATCACTGGCTCGTATGTCACGAGAGCTGTGATTTAATTAGCGATGCCGTGCTCGATTTTCCCAATATTGCGATTTTTCTCACCTTTGCTGCTAAGACTTTGATCCACAATCTTCCGGCGAAGGGCATGTTCTCTCTTATCACGAGTAAAGACAAGGCCATCCAGGGGCTCCATCAATATGTACAAGGGTCCTTTAGCTGTCTCTGAAGCATTACCATACAGAGGGTTCAATGCCGCAGGGTCAATGATAGAAACTTCCATGGGACCTGTCTGTTGTCAATAATATTCGGTATACTGTTGGTGGAATTTGAATAAGACACAACTCACCGACTCTCACGTAGTCCCCATACTGTTGGTGGATTTGATGGACATCCTGGTGGATTTTCATGCGCTTACATGTTTGGATTGTAAGATACAATGTGGACAAACGTGCACCAAATGGTCCCGGGAATCTAGATAGACGATGAAAAAGACCTCTATAAACAAGGATACTCCCAAGCATGCCCAGGAAATGGTATGCAATCAATAAGAGAAAGTCGGACGCAGATATAATTACTAAGCCATTGAGGGTAATCGGTGAGTGAAGTAGATACGCTCCTCCGATGAGCGTGGCGCATAAGTAGCTGAGTGCAATATTCGAAGACTTTGTATCCCATTCACCATGTCTGAACAATAAATGATGAAGAGAAACCCCGCTCACTCCGGCGAGAATCCCAGTGTTATTCCAAACGCTCGTGAGGGCCATACTGCAAGAACTGGACAGTCGAATATATCAACTGTGTTTAACTAGGGCGACTAATATACTCTTATAACATACATGTGACCTTCGCCTTCTGCTCCCTCACCACAGCGGTCGTATGCTGATTTCTCCAACTTGGTTTTTTCGCATATTTGATGTAACCCCTCCTTCCCTCCCTGCATCCTGTAAGTATGCATGACATCTGAAATGGACATCAATGTTCAACTCTATCAGCATTCCTCTGTGTCAGATCTTTCCTTCAATCTAGCATTGCTTAGCAAAGAGTAAGAGCTTTGTACATGAGAGCTGAGATCCGAATCAACGCCATCATCAGATATATTGACATTATGGTTCAATTAACTCATTTCCTACTTATCTACCTCATTTTAGCTATGCAGGTGCTTCGTCATTTGAAACAAAATATATACCCCCAAACCCCTCCATCGCCTCAAATTGCGAAATTTGCACTCTTCATGCATGAAAAGGCGAATGCTGTATCACGAAGTCATGGTCACTCTAAGTTAAGGATTTGCCACCCGACCAAAAGCTAACACAGCCAGCCACAACATTCATAGTTTGATACGATCGATGCGAATTCAACAAGGAATTCAGGCCTTACCAGGTGTGAGATAAAATAGTTGAGAAAATGGTTCTCTTTGAATCCTATTAAAGCATAATTAGTATCCTAAGCCTACTAATAACAAGCTACTTCACAGCGTTTGCATGAGATACCTAGTTCCCTTTGTCAATTTCATCAATCATTTAATATACCAATTTCTATCTCTTCATATCTTTAAACACATCAACCCATCAATTTTTCCCCTTTATGGATAGGAACGAGTGGAGGGAGGCATATGAGAAAGCCTTTCAAAAACACACGTACCGAGGGCGGCTAGGTTCACTCCTCAGACCGGCTGAATGCTCTTCCCTCTACGACGCCTACTTGGCATCTCCTTCAAGAGACCTATGCAAGAGAGCTCATCACTATCGCAGTGCGGGCACTGGGCTACCAGCATTTGTTGTACGCTCCTGCAGAGGCGAACTCTAGGTCAGAGATAATGAACAGCAGCTCAATTCAGTCACAGTTCTGGGTCATACTCTGCCTCACTATGGAGCAGAGAGCTTCTGTGGCGCATGCATCAAGACGGGTATGGTTCTCATGTTCCGCACATGGTTGTTGAGCACCAGTGCCAACCAGGAATTGATTGTGCTTGCATGCGCTGCAACATGTGAATGTATATCCAGAAAATATTTACTATCAGCCGGCCAGAATAATGTCATCAAGAATATCTCCATTGATTGTCCCGGGCCATGCCGGCAGCACGCTCTCGCAAGGTGTCAGGGCATAGGGATTCCAGAAAAACCTCTTGATATGCTGGCTGGTGTGACGGGGGACCTGGACAGTTCCTTACATCAGGACATGACCAATCTCTGCGATTCTCCAGACGTGAATTTTCCACCAGATTATGGGCCACTCGACCCTCATTCTAAAGGATTGGCGACGCTCTATTGCTTCATAGCCGGCGCAGGACCTGGTGAATCCACCGGTTTAGCAGCTCCCATTAATTGCTGGTGCATGATCAATGAACTTCAATCTCAAACTGATCAGAATGTGGCTGGTAAAAGATACGAAAGTACCAGGACCGAGTTCGCTTCTTGAGCCGGCCCCGCAGCGTCCTATCGACCAGGGCACGAAAAGACCAGCCCGTCCGACACACAAAGTTTCCGTCCCGGGAGACCTATTGCTATGAGAAGTCTCATGGCAGGTTGAGGCCAGGAAGCTTATTAAGCACAAGCAGCACGTCTGTCACGTGTGTCCGATTGCCCGCCCCTTGCCTGGGATGCCATGCAGTCAATGCCTGAATAGGTGTCTCTTCTCACCGATCTGGACCAATTCCACGGGGCATTGTGCGCCCTGGAACGATCGTCAGCCTGTCCAACTCCTCTTCGTTAAGCCACAGATAAAAATTTACCCATGAACGGATTCAAGTGACACAGTCTTTCTCCCAGGCTGTCTGGCAATATGCGACCCTCATCCTTCTTCCTTCCATGTCTCACATTCGGTGTAACCCATGCGTAGCGCGTACAATTAGCACAGTACCACATCCCTTGGGAAAAGTTACCACAACATCGTTTTCGAATACTATGAGAGGCCGTTGCCGCTACTCTACAGCAATACTCTTCCAATTTGTACCACCAGGCACAGTACTGCTAGCACCACTCCAGCATTGACAACAGTGTATCTACAGTCAGCTGTAACTTCAGCGTGCAGATGTATGAGACTCCAGCCTGCTTCTAGTCGCCAGCTGATAGCACTGACTATCCGATACTTAAGTATAAATTACATTCAAAGGAGCCATTACTATTCGAATTTCGCTTAGGTCGACCGGTACTAGATAGTACATTCATGCAGGGCCTCTCGAAGTAAGGTTCCTAGCGGAAAAACACATGACAAGAAAATAAGTCTACAGCTTCATTCTCCACTTCGGGTCCTACCATACCCATAGTCAAAGTATCTTTCGTCACCTTCGATTTCCCAACGCAGAGCATTGCCGAAACAAGCTCCGTCCAATGACTATATGGCTGTAGCTGCTTTTAGTAAACAATTCTCGTACAGGTCCAACCAAATGTAATAGACGTTTTTAGTTTGCTCCGAAGACAGACACCTGCGTAAGTTACTGGTACCTTCAGAACTCCGCCAACATAAACTGTCCAAAGCGTGGCCTCTACATGTAACTATATCTTACGGATCAGCCTTGTCGATGCTCACTTACTTCTCGTAGGTACAAGGAATAAGATATGTCAAGATTCATGAACGGACAGATGTACCCGATTTAATAAGTATTTAGATCTGGTAGCATATCATACATGAAGAAGCCGCGGACGAAAGCTTGACCACAGTGAATGCCATTGGCAACAAGACAGGATATATTACTTGAATAAACAGCTTATTCCATGTTACCCTATAAAGCCCGATCACATAGCCATTCCTTTGCCACGGCGAACGTGGGCCAGAAAGTTTAGGCTTCTATCCAGGCACGCTGTACAGGGGGCAGCAAAAGGAAGCAACATCAGCGAAAGTGTATTGTATTACTATTTAGGAACCCGCAGCGGAACAAGCGCGAAGGAGTGTTTGGTGTGGCGGGCGCAAGCACAAACTCTGTGACGAAGCCCACTAGACACTGCCACTCGTGCAATTGCAAGGTCCATTTAGGAATGGTAGAACAATCATCTCACAAATAATGCTCTATGAAACAAAGCTTATCCCAAACAAAGAGTCCTCTGTCCTATGTCTGCGATTTTGTTGAGATAGCGAGCGGGCGGAGATTTCTTTCTCCGGTGCTATACTGGAGAAGAACATCTCCGGGCGAAGGACCTCCACTCCTCCGAATACAATGCTTGGCAGCAAACGTGTCTCGGATTTAGACCGAAGTAAAAGCAGTACAAGATGCACCTTAATTTAGCGCAAAGAACAGGACACACATTTCCTGTCCCTCGACCTGCAATCTCCGACCCACCATGACCAAATCAACAATCCCCGCTCAGGACATTCACAACGTTCTCAGCAATGTCCTACCCCGAATCAAAAGCCACGTTGAAGCCCAAACATCCGCATCAAAAAAGCGCCCATTTCTTCTGGGCCTGACGGGCCTCCAAGGAAGCGGGAAATCCACATGGACCGACGCACTCGTACAAGCCTTGAACGATGAATACAAATACAACACAATCAACATATCCTTAGATGACCTTTATCTCGATCATGACGACCTTATCCAAGTACGAGACAACAACCCCTCCAACAGACTTCTGCGAACGCGAGGACAACCCGGCACTCACGATATTGCACTTGCGGTCGATTTCTTCGACAGTTTAACAAAGTCATCGGAGAAAATCATTCCATCATTCGACAAGAGCCTATTCAATGGAGAGGGTGGCCGAGCACCCCAAGACACGTGGCGTCGCATTCCAGCAGATGTCATCATCGACATTGTTATTTTCGAAGGGTGGTGTGTCGGGTTCCAACCATTGCCAGAGGATGAGATTTCGCGTCGCTGGAACCACGCGAAAGAGGTCTCCGCGGGAGGCAGCTTGAAGCAGACGCTGGGTGAGCATGAATTGGAGCATTTGCTACAGGTTAACAAGAATTTGCGTCAATACTGCGAGTTATTCATGGGGCCGCAGAATTTCGACTTTCTCGTTCATCTTGATACAGATGATTTGATTAATGTCTATGGATGGCGCCTCGAACAAGAACATGCCCTGCGAGACAAGAAGAAGGGCGCCATGTCTGATGAGGAAGTTATCCGGTTTGTGAAGGGGTATATGCCTGCTTACGAGCTTTATCTAGATCAATTACGGAGGGGGTTCTTCTCTGGTCGGGAAGGGAAAGGGCAATTATCTGTCGTTTTGGACGAGCGAAGGAAAGTTATGGAAATTCGTCTTGTTTAACGGTATATGGGTATAGTGTTCGTTGGCTATGTACGGTACAGGGCCGTTTACAACATGTTTCCGTGAATTATCCAAGGGCCATCTGCCACGCTCCATAGATCGTTCATGAAAAGGTAAGATGGATCGGAGAAGGAAAGCGGATCTTGTCCAAGTCCCTGGTTAAGTACGGCGTTGCTGTTCGCCATGTTGCCGAATATTAGACCGGCGGATGTTTGTGTGTGGGAAGCGTCGTTCGAGTTTATGTCAATCATATCACTGGCATTACGAATCAGATTGGGCGAGTCGCAGTGTTCGATTGGGTTAACCCGCCGAGGGGCAGAGTCTGTAGATGGTTCAAATGGTTGTGGACTCATAGAAGGCGACAGACGATGGTACATTGTAGGCCCTGTTCTGTGGGTATTTGAAAAGGCGGAGTTCATGCCCATCGAAGCAGATGGATGACTTCTGTGCTGGGACTCCGGTCTCATCGCCCCTCTGGTATCTGAGGGGACGAGCTGTGAGGCGTTTCCATCAGACAAAGGTCCAGCAGCGTTTTCATGATCCCGACTGGACTGGTTCATTGACAAGGCAGATACCATGCTCTTAATCCCCTCGATGCATGTTTCAGGCCAGCTGCTTCCACGCAAAGCAAGATTCTGAAGGACAGAAGTCCCCATCCGACCGTATTTTAATGCGGTATCGATCGGGAGCTCGCCCTCCCATGACGCGTACATCAAGATGAGACAAGCCATCCATGTTGTCCATGTAAAGGAAGGCCAGGTCATTGGTGCATGAGATGGAGAAGACATGTATCTCTTTAATGCTGCAAGCGCAGATCGCGAAGACTCAATACATGTTTGTAATGCATTTTTGTAATCCTGGTCCTGGTTGGGCTTCTCAGCGGTAAGCAATGGTCGGTTCATGGCAATAACCGCCTCGTGTCGGAAGACAATGAGAAGGAGCCGATGATATGAGGCTAGTGGTGAGCCTTGTCTTGATTCTGTATCTTCATCGTCCTCCGTAGGATAGACATCGTCGTATACTTCATTCCACCATTGTGAAAGCTCGCCGTTAACATATGACGCCTCGACAGGACTGGCATGACTATGCAGGACAGACTTGTTGCGAAGCTCAATTATCAAGCCGCGTACCCGAGCGAATTTAGCAAGATGGCAAAGTAATCGCAGTCGACTATCGGAGTGGCCATGTGATGTTAAAGGAGTGGTTGAGTGCCTTTCTTCGCCCGGATAGCAAACATCAATGTCGTCATCTCGGATGCTAAGTGGGATACCGAGAGCTTGTGATAAATATCGTTCCAGGGTGTATATGGACCAAAATAATCGATATCTAATATCTTTTTCATGGCTACCGAAGCATGAGAAGCGAGCCGGACATCGATGCAATCCTAAATGATATGCAGTTCGCGTGATGACACCACCGACTCGTGAAGCAGCGTTGAGACGTAACAGAGATGTGAGGGTAAGCTGGGCACAGAATGTCGCTTGCAGGAGTGGTACCGTGGTGGGCTCCATAAGCAGGCTTTGTATATCTTCTATGATGTGACGTACAGATTGGAAAACCAGAGTGGCCGGTACTGGTTCGGTGTTTGCACCCGAGCCATCTGTCTGTCGGTTATCGGCAAGAGATATCGAAACAAGGGAGCGAATAATAATCATGTCTAGTCGGCTGACTGCTGAAACACCCTGGTTCGCGAGAGCTTCCATCGACTTAAGAACAGTTGGTGCATGAAGAAAGGGAAAGATGGGGTGCCAGTCCTCAAAATAGCGGCGAGTCCAACTGGCTAAATCATCGAATGAAAACGAGGAATTTGATTCAAATTTTAGCTCCTCCCTCGACCACAGCTCATCTGTAATGTGAGAGTTGAAGTCGCCGGAGTTTCGCTGCAATCGATCATCTTCTCCTGGCACCGAGGTTCGATTCCGAGCTCGCTGCAACTCGGCGGATCGACGAGCAAAGGCGTTGTAAACCTGACGAACAAAGTGAATACCGCTAGAGCTTCCGAGAAAAGTGGCTGGACCATCGTTTTGAGATTCTCTCATCACCCCGATCTCGCGGGGCGAAGGTCGTGATGCACCTGCGGTGGAGGCTCGCTTGCGTCTTTTGGCAGCACGAGGAGCGGCATGCCAGTCGGTTTCATTCTCCTCCAGGCGGGAGCCAAATGAAGAGGGGGACACCATTTCAGTGGTTGCCTGTCGTCACATTTCCACGAGACTGGGAGTTATTCGCAGTGTTCGATGTGGCACCCTGGGAAATCGAGGCATGAAGTTATCGAGTTATTGCGGGCAGTGCTTAAAGTTGCTTAGTCATTGCTGGTGCACTTGACCACCACATCATATCTAAATCAAGTTATCACCCCGTACTGCCCTAGGCAGATTACTCTGCTTGAATAAAAATTCCCCAATAAATATGAAATAAGTCATAATTTTCCTATGCTCCAGAAAAGATGTACCCCATCTTTGTACAGCCCAGTTGACCTGCTGCTTGTCGGCTAATATCACGTGACCCCTAAAGCCGGGCCACCATTACGCGCTGTTGAGCCCTCTCGCACCTCCAAGTCATCATTTAGATAGCATCAGTGGAACCAACACTTTAGCCTCATAGGTTTCCTCGCTCGGCAATCGAAGAGTCTTGGAAGTGGCAATTGCAAGTCCAACGCCATACCAACATTCGGCACTCGAACCTTAATTCACCACAGAGAGTGCTGTCGGAGGTTTCCTTCTCCGGATGACGCGGTGGCCCGCGCAGACACATCAAACCTGTCCGATCGGCGGCAAAAGACACTTTCCAGGCTGACTGCCCTTGATAGTTCCCCGGATTTATTCAATTTTCTTATCAAGTTGGCTGGACAACAGGCGGTGAGATATGGGACGCCAACGATCTAAACGGGCATCCAGTGCCGACATGCCAGGTACGTATAGCACCTTCACGTCTACAGACCTGGAATTTGACGACTATTAGAAGATGACGATGTTCTAAGTCCTATCTCCTGTGAGGTATGCAGGCAGCGGAAATGCAAAGTGAGTTAATTTTCGTCGATCTATTGTTCCTGCAGCGCTAATCCCCGCATAGTGCGATCGCAGACTGTATGCTGAAACTCCAACCTTCGTATTCCCCCCCTTCATCGGAGCTTTTTGGTCACTAACATACCCCTGCAGCCCGTATTGCTCTCAATGCTCCAACGAATCATCAAAATGCAAATATCCTGAAAGCGGCAAGAGGTACGAACATTCCATGCGATCGACCCGCACCCCACAGCTAATGATCTTTCACTTAACAGAGGCTTGCCTCTCGGATATTTAAATCAATTAGAGCAAAGACTTGCAGAGACTGAGTCGGCCCTTTATGGTGCTCTCATGACATTGAGCTCAATGGGTCCAACAACTACTTTGCTCCAAGCCACCACGAAGCCGGATTCGCTACAAAAATCGAAATCTGCACGAATGGATGAATGGTCGCGATTGCCGCTTCGAGGTTGGCCCGACATATACCACTGGAAGGCATCCATGTGCGATCAATTTACCCTCAATCAGTCGCAAGAGGTACCGCTCGTGGATCACTCGACAGCTAGTCATGCCATTTCAGCTTCGCCTGCTGCGACTACCATCCACAGTCACAGCCCTCAAGGTGAATTAGAAACTTCTGGGCCGGCTAGCTTTGCGTGGCACCCAGGCGAAGATGTCAACATGGGCAGTCCCTATAACGCCTATCTTCGACCTCCCGGGATGATTTCTTCTCCGACGTATTTGAGGGACCCAGCTCCGGGTCCAGCAGAGACCTTAGTTAATCCATTTCCTGACTTAAGTACCGCCACGGTGACGGGTAATAGTGGGAAAGAAGACGAACATTCCACGATGGCGGACGAGCTATCTAAAAGCAAGCCTAGCATATACTTCTAATAGCAAATCAAATAAGAATAAAAGCTTTTGTCAGAGTTATCCTCCGCTATACATCGACGTGCAGCAGTGCGCTTATGACATGATACGCCCGAAAAAGTCGATCACGGGCATTGAACGATATGGTCCTGGTGTTGAAAGAGTGCAGCCATATCAGCAGTTTCCTTCAACATCTCTCAAAATCAAGACATTGCCAAGGTGGCCAAGCCTCTACTCGGGATGGGTGGAGATCAAACGCACTCGAAAGTTAGGAAGAGCGACGCACAAACCCACAACCCGAGATAATTTCTAGTCCAAAAGTAGAGGCGGTACATTGGGAAAGCTGCAGCAATTTTTTAGATCGATCTTGAACCTATAAGGAGACTTAAATAGATGCTAATTATCTATGATGCCACTGAATGTTTAGAGGACATAACCTCTCCTTCCATATCAAGCCTTTCACCAATGTGTCCCTCTGCTTCAAATCCCTCATCCATGCCTGGCCACAACGTCCGGCGGGTAAGGTACGCCCATATGTGGAGAAAAAAGCAGCCTAACCATAGAGCGACTTGAATGATGGTAGCTGCACTGCCAACCCACTGGATAGGCTTCGAAGCAACCAAATCGCCGATTTTTATTGTTGCCAAAGCAAACCCAGTATTTGGAAACACAGTTGCCCACCAAGTGATATCAAACTTCCATTCATGGTGGGCAGCCAGGATGCTAAGCCACCCAAGCATCCACAGAAAGAAAGAGAAGATCCACATAAAAATCGACAAGAATACCGCAAGAATGAGTAGAATTTCTGCGGTGTTGACGTGCGAGGCCAAAGGGATATAATGAGCAGGGAATTTTTCTGTTGCAACCTCGGCCATGCCCATTAGCGCGACTGCAGTAAACGCCGGTGGTCCAATAGCAATGAACATCTGAGGTCTGCGGCGCATGGGCGGTAGGCCATGGTGGTGAAGGCCGTAGAAGTATTCACCTAGTATGAATAGAGAAATCAAGAAGCCAAAACCCTGCAAGCACGTTCCAGCAATAAGAATAGGGATGGCAAAGTGATTAGGCTGGGCGCCAGCGAGTAGTGAAGCAGTGGTACCGCCGAGCATGGCCGGAAAGGACGGAAGGAGGCGCACAAGCCAGAAAGGTTGGCGAGAAGCCATACGGGTCTGGTAAAGATGCCAGTTAAGGCCAACTGCCAGAGATATTGCCACGGCTGTATAGACCCAGAACAGGACCAGTTGAACATATTTCAGCCAATCTCCACAGGCAGGAACGCCATAACATTCTATTCCGAAAAGTATAGTAGCGAAGCCCAAAGCAGCTGTAGGAATGAGATAGGCTTCCTCCGGGTCGTTGAATGTATTTCTGAAGGCGTGTCGGTTTCGTGTGAATCGTGTGATGAGAGAAGCCCAAATGGCCAAATAAGTGACAATATCAAGAATGAAAAATATCTTTCCAATAATCATAAGACCAGAAAACTTGTGAGGAGTGTTGTAAAGCAGAGTACCAATGCTCCCAGTGCTCATCGAGACTGAGAACCATCCCCAGGAGACCCGACAAATTCTGTCAACAAAGGTCATTGAATGCATGATTCTGTCTTGAGCAGACATTCCAGAAAGACAAAGCAACGTAATTTCTCAAACAAGATGACAATAGAAGAAAATGAATAACGAAATGAAAAGCCTGTAGGGAAAAATTGACGCAAATAAGGGAGGTGAGGCAACGGCCAGGCCAGGTTTCCTGACCTCCGGATGGAGAAGGCAGTGGAGCCTAGGGGGTCTGGGGCCCCATGGATACACATAAGACGAAATGCCGACTTTCCGGTATGAGGTCAAATATGATATACACTCGTTCCGACTGATCTTTTTCCGAGGAAATACGCTCTCGGTACCGCGTTTGCTCGCATACACGGTTACTCTTGTTAGCTTTTTCCTGAATAGAGCTGTACTCCGGTCATCCCTTGATTTCTATACTCTTCCCTGAAAGGATACCATGCTATAGAACCGGTGGCATTGAGACATATGGTAAAGAAAATACCGCATATGCCTTCCGGAATTGGACGGGAAGCTCTCGAAACTTGGAAGAAGGTCGGATGAAGTCATCGTGTGGCCTGAAATCTACGCCGGGAAACGAGCTTCGTGGTTAAATGAAACCTCGTAAAATCAATGCATCCGCAATATATAGGAACTGGACTCTGTCAAATGGCTGAAGTATATTTCATCTCTCAATCAGTTTGGAAAAAAGTTGCTATTTAAGCTATCCGTTCATATGATTGTAAGCCAAGATAATGAAAGCCTAATAGACTTGGCAAGATCTCCCCAGTTTCTCGTAGTAGCTGCAGATCCGATGTTTAATATTGCTTACTAGGTTGACTTGACCAGTCATCTTCCAGGTATTCACTATATGATGTCTGGGCATGGCTTGCTGTAGAAAACATTGTTGCTCCGACTTATTCACTCTTCATCAGACGTAAAACGCCAGACATGGCCGAAAAAAAAATAGAGATACTCTGGTTGACCAAACAGCCCAGTGAATCTTGAGATTGTCTATTATCGTCCTTTGAGATAATAAGGGGTTGGTCGGGGTCAGGGTCAAGTGCCCTCTACATGTCTATATTTTGTCAATATTAGCGTGGCTTAGTCAGCCCATCGTGACAATGCGAGTCACCCCAAAGGCTGCCATCTAGTTCGGATTACTCGTTACGAAACTTGCAATATGCGAGATTTTCATGATTGGAGAGGGTTTACAACTCATAATCTGTCTCCCGTCATTTTTTCTCGCTGAGCCTTGGAGTTGAGACCATCTACCGGAGAAGGAAAGCTCCGACGTTTCATTCCTCTCAACCGGTCATCCACCGGACTTGAACATCTCCGAACCAAAATACCTCGCCACCGAGTTAAGCGTCATAACAGATTGCCACTTTGAACTAAAGAAGATCAGATCACGCATTGGCACCAAACTGCTTATAACCGGGCAAACACTAGAGCTACCCCTCCATCTACCCCTCCATCTATCTCAAATCACTTCAATTCTACACACACCGCCACACCTGATTCACAATGTCTCCCTCCGTCACTCGCAGAACATACAGCATTGCTTCTATCCCCGCGGATGGAATTGGTCCCGAGGTCATCGAGGCCGGTATCACCGCCTTGAATGCTTTGACCGATACCCTCCAGACTTTCAAGCTTGACTTCAAGCACTATGACTGGAGCTCCGAGACATACAAAAAGACCGGCAAATACATACCGGATGGAGGTCTTGACGAATTGAAGAAGCACGACGCTATCTTTTTCGGCGCTGTTGGCGCCCCTGGTGAGTACCCTGGCATCCGGAGACAAAATATTCTCTAACAGGTATAGATGTCCCTGATCACATCTCCCTCTGGGGTCTTCGTCTGGCTATCTGCCAGCCCTTCCAACAATATGCCAATGTCCGCCCCACTCGAGTATTCCGGGGTACCCAGTCTCCCCTCCGCAACTGCAACATTGGGGATCTCGACTGGGTCATTATTCGCGAGAACAGCGAAGGCGAGTATGCGGGCCAGGGTGGTCGTTCTCACACAGGCAAGCCTTGGGAGTCGGCAACCGAGGTTTCCGTCTTCACCCGTCACGCTGTGGAGCGTATCATGCGTTTCGCTTTCGAGACCGCCCAGAAGCGGCCTCGCAAGCTCTTGACTGTTGTTACCAAGAGCAATGCTCAGCGTAACGGAATGGTTCTGTGGGATGAGGTTGCTAAGGTTACGGCTAAGGTAGGCCACTCTTGTTAAATACCCCTCCTATCATCCGAGTACTAATATGGGAACTTTCCAGGATTTCCCCGATGTCACTGTTGATAAGATGCTGGTCGACGCTATGACCACCCGCATGGTTCTGAACCCCAAGAGTCTTGATACTATCGTGGCAACGAACCTACACGCCGATATCTTGTCTGATCTGGCTGCTGCTCTGGCTGGATCTATCGGTATTGCCCCTACTTCCAATCTCGACCCTACCCGCGAGTACCCTAGCATGTTTGAGCCTATCCACGGCTCTGCTTTCGATATCACTGGCATGGGTATCTCAAACCCTGTTGCTACTTTCTGGACCGCGGCTGAAATGCTTGCTTGGCTGGGCGAGCAGGAGGCTTCCGAGAAGCTTCTGACCTGTGTTGAAAATGTTTGCGAGCAGGGCATTCTCACTCGTGACTTGGGTGGCAAGGCTAACACCAAGGAGGTTACCGATGCTGTTGTTGCCGAGATTAAGAAGCTGGGCTCTAAGTAGAATTTTAGGATGACTGTACTCTTGGCTCAAGAGGGCCTTCCGTTGTAAATAGAATTGCAGGTTTACGAATATAAACTACAGATAGTAAATGAATATTGAGCACTATCATTGGAGATCATGGAACAAGGTGGAAACGTTGCTAGTACTTGGCATAATAAATATGTTCCCGCTTCTATTGAAAATACTCGCTTGAGGGGACAACTCCGAGCCTCAAATCCAGTCACACATCGCCTTATGCAGCCCGTAGAATATTTCAAGAGTGCTACCAAGTTGAACACACTAATACGCCTTGGTTATCCTAAACATAGGGAAAGAGATGTGCCGACAGGAAATGATCATCGACCTCTGTGGTTTTTTTTTTTTTTTTTTTTTCCTTTTCCCGATCTCGGAGAAGCAAGTATTATGCGATATTTAACAGTTCTTGCATTTTTAGCCTCTTACGATAAAGCAGCGCACGCATGGCAAGTCTTTCTGCACATTGATGTAATTGCGTTATAAGTAGCCGGACATAGCAACCTCCGGTGAGTGTGGGCTGATTATCACTTCCTCCATCGTCGTGATGTGGTCCAATCATGATGCCGCATTAATTCAAACGCCAAGTATTCCCCGCAATGTATGGGGAAATCCTTGTGCGCTTCCCCAGTTTTACGGGGACCCCAGGTCATTGACAACATGTCTCGGGGTTGGCATACTCTTACCAGTCCGGGGATGGAAAAGTTTTGGGTCCTCCTATATAAAGGAACACAGTCATTTTCCCAAGAATTCACTTCGTTTTTGTCTACTCATATTTCTCATTCGTGACTTTTGGTTGAGACCCCATTCAAAATGGCTCAACAACTTTTGCACCTTACTGGCAGTGCTCTACGCATGGCCCAGGTTATCCTCATTGTTGCTCCCGCTTTTATCATTTTCGGCTACAACCAGGCCGGGGCTGGTCCCCTTGCTACCCTCCAATCTTGGGTAAAGGTCTTTCCTCAAATCGACACAATCAATACAACAGGTGCTTTGGAGGCAAAGAATTCAACTGGGAAGGGAGCTGTCATTGCGTCCTTCCAAATTGGTGCGCTGATTGGTGCGCTGTCGTGTACTGTCATTTCGGATCGTCTTGGGCGTCGCAAGACTATATTTATCGGTTCTATTTTCACCATCATCGGTCAATTACTACAAGTGTCGGCCTACTCTTTGATTCAATTTACAGTTGGCCGAGTCATTCTGGGTATCGGCACTGGTCAATTCAGTGTTGCTGTACCTGTTTGGCAATCTGAGTGCTCTTCCGCCAAGCATCGCGGTCAGCATGTCATCGCCGACGGTATCTTTATGTGTCTCGGATATGCTCTGTGCAATTGGATCGACTTTGCCTTCAGTCGACTTCCCAATGAGAATACCGGTCAGTGGCGTGGACCGCTGTCGCTTTCCTTCTTGCCATCACTGGTGATCTTGGTCGCGGTCTTCTTACTCCCCGAGTCCCCGCGTTGGTTAGTGAGAGTCAACCGTACCGAAGAGGCAACCGCTAGTCTTGCCGCATACAAGGGCATGTCTCCCGAGGACGAAGCAATCAAGTCAGAGATTTCTGGTATTGGACTGTCTTTCGAGAATACCTCTCAATCCACAAGGGCGATCCGCGAGATGTTCTCCAAGGATGATGACGAGCGCTTGTTCTATCGCTTCTGTCTCTGCATCATCTTGCAATTTTTCCAACAAATGTGCGGCGGCAACCTCATCTCAGTCTACGCCTCCACCATCTTCGAAGACAACCTGGGACTGAGCTCTAGTCTCTCAAAGATCCTCGCAGCATCTGCACTCACGTGGAAGTTCGTGTGCTGTTTCATCTCCTTTTTCGCCATTGATCGACTGGGTCGCCGGGCGGTATTTATGATCAGCGGAACTGGCATGGCATTCTGTATGGCCGCAATGGCAATCACCACTAGCTTCGGAGTTGAGAACAGACAGGCGTCGATCGCATCAGTGGTTTTCATTTTCATGTTTAACCTCTTCTACCCCATTGGCTTCCTGGGCGGTAATTTCCTGTACTGCACAGAAGTTGCTCCCCAGCGCCTTCGCGTTGCCATGTCTGCTATCTCCACTGCCAACCACTGGTTGTGGAACTTTGTCGTTGTCATGATCACACCGGTCGCTTTGGATACTATCGGCTACCAGTATTACATTATGTACGCAATCTTATCAGCGTGCATCCCGGTTTTGGTGTACTTCTTCTACCCAGAGACGATGAACCGGAACTTGGAGTTGATCAACCATGTCTTCCGGGATGCGTCGTCGCCTTGGCAGATTGTCTCTATGGCGCGTAATCTTCCCCAGGGGGAAATCACGCCGGCAGAGCTGGTCGCCTATAACAAAGAGAAGGATGATTGCTCTGTTGAGATGAGAGAACATGCATAATCGATTGATGATGTCATTGCTGGGTTGAGTTGGCGATATATATGACAGAGTTAAATTTACATATTTCTACGGATTATATTCCCCATGAGACAATCAATTCACGTTCAAGATTACCGTGTTTGCTGCACCTACGTAAGGTTTTCTAGCTGAATCGTAATCACTATGCTTGTCATATAGCCCCAGCTAAAGACAAGGTGAAACTCACGAGCAAATTTTAGATCCTTGGCGTTCTGCAAGCATGGTCTGATAGGTGGGACGGGAATAGGGGAAATATGACGAACCTATTAGGATGCTGACAGAAAGCCCGGAGAAAAACACCCCGCGGCTTGCCGGTCAAATATGCCGCAGCCTCATTCATGTCGGTTTATTAAGCCCTAAACCAGGGTTGGCTATTCCGGTTTTCGGAAGTTTCTTACCCCGACTTAATTTCCGGGGTTGGTTCAACCTTTCAAGAATGTCTGGGCTTGGCATCATCAGCCGCTTCGGAGGTGATCTTTGCTGCGAACTTCGGGAGTTAGTGTGGGTCCCCCAATGGGATCGGACTATACAGCTTGCTGCCGGTCGCGATAAGCCGTCACATCCGGGGTTCATACTAGCGGTTGATGTATGTTATCATTGTAGATGCCATGTCTCCTACCCGGTCCCGTCGGACTTGTTGGAAGCCGATTGAACGCCTCCTGACGTAGGGTCTGTCGGCTCCTAGAATCGGGCTGGGTCGTATACTGGCGACGGAGTCGATATGGTATTATATTATATAGTATCATGTTAATCCCTGGGTGATGGATATAGAAGCCAATGCTTATACTAGAGAATTAATCCACTATTATCAGCACAATAATATCTCACCAGACTATCCTTGAACATTACTGCGTATCTACATAATCATGGCTCCCTCCACCAATGACTCGCCTCTTGGTATCTCCACCTCACCATTTGCCTGCAGAGTAGGCATCAACGGCTTTGGACGGATAGGTATGTTATTATACCTTCTCAGGTAACAGTACAACCCACTCAACATCATTCCTAGGCCGCAACCTCCTCCGCGCATCCCTCGTCCGCTCAGACATTCAGGTCGTCGCCATCAATCACACATGCGTTACAGTCGAAGACCTCATTTACCTCATCCGATATGACTCTTCCATGGGAGACCTTGACGATGGAACATCTATCCAAATAAAATCCGAAAACCTCATCATCATAGACGGCAACCCCATTACCTTGACCTCTGAGCGCGACCTGAAGAAGCTTAAATGGGATGCCCTGGGCGTCGACTATGTACTCGAATGTACAGGCAAATTCACAAAGTCGCACCAAGCTATAGAACACATCACCTATGGAAAGGCAAAGCGAGTCCTGATCTCTGCACCCTCGGATTCGCCCACCTTTGTCTATGGCGTTAACTCCAACTCGTACCGTCCTACTGAGGAAAACCTGGTCATTTCTAATGCCAGCTGCACAACGAACTGCGTTACGCCGGTGTTGAAGGTGCTTCATGAGAACTTTGGTGTCGCTCAGGGATTTTTGACGACTATTCATGCTGCTACTCGGTCTCAGCAGGTTCTGGATGGGTATAGCAAGAAGAACCGTCGGCTTGGTGAGTTAACCATTCCACACAAGTTTGATCGAACGGAACTGATTGCTCTGTTTGTAGGTCGTGGTGTCTTCAACAACATCATCCCGACAACTACTGGCGCTTCAAAGGCCGTTGCTTCAGTGCTGCCCGAGCTAAGCAGCAAGGTGACGGGCGTGTCGATCCGTGTCCCGACGTAAGCTCCGCTCGGTTGCTCGTTTGATACCCCCCATTTGCTGACTGAGTTGAACTCAGACCCAATGTCTCAATGATCGACCTTACAATCAGCACCGAGAAGCCCACATCCCTCTCAGAAATCATTTCTACCTTCCGCGTCGCATCCAAGTCCAGCATGGCTGGCGTGCTGAGAGTTACAGATGAGGAGCTCGTAAGCGCTGACTACAATGGAAGCCCATATAGTGCTATCATTGATGCGCCTGCATGTTCGGAGCTGAATCCTCAGGTGAGTAGGCGCAGTGGCCTTTATTGATCTGAGGCATGCTGACTCGTTTATAGTTCTTCAAAATCATGGCATGGTACGATAACGAGTGGGGTTACTCGAATCGTCTACTGGATCTGGCGACACATGTCCACGCTGCTCAGAACATGCAATAATGTTCTAGATTGGATATAGTAATTTTTTGAGCATGGAAAATTAGGGCGTTAGATGGTAAGTTTACTTGTGTTTTCGTCTATATGACTCCTACGAAGCTATCGGCATGGTATCGATTTTGATGATTTAGACTATTTTAGCCTGGTAATAGATAGTATTTATGACGAACACAATCCTTTGTGGATTCTATGATTCTTCTTTTCTAGATGATCTCCAGCTTTGGCTGGCCTGAATGCCGCTTTATTGTTATTGTAGACGGCTAATGTTGGGCGATGGCCTGTATGAGACTATGAAGTAACCACCTCAAAATATATCATCGGTTAAACCGGGCACAACATGATCATAGCGCCTCAGCTTTTTCTGGCTCAAGCAATTCAGGATCAATCGGCAAACGTGCAATGAATAACTGCGCGACAATTACTAGGCACCTCCACCGCCTTCAACAATTTGTCCCTTTGATGTTTTAAACTCCGTGGACCCTAGGCGTCCTGACCCTATCTGTTCGACTTTTCCGGACTGTCTTGGCGATAAGGGACAAGATCTGGGACTGGAGCTCGGCAGTACAATAGTATTCAATTAACATGTGCTCATTATATTCCTCTATTGATAAAACATGAGCACATACGACCACAGGGTGTGGAAAACAGGGCTTCCCGTCCGCTCAGCCGTACTTAAGCCACACGCCGGGAGGTTAGTAGTTGGGTGGGTGACCACCAGCGAATCCCTTCTGTTGTATGTTTTTTATCTTTTATTCATGGTCTTTTTTTGGCTCGAAACGCAAAGAATCAATCAAAAATGAATTCAACCGAGTGTAATACAATGAGCACTTTACACAACTCGCAGAGGAATACATCCACATGGTATGCGCATGGATAGACGACCGTCAGGGATAGTAGGTGCCAACCACAAGAGGGTACCCAACTCCACTGGGCCACTTCGTCAGAATAGCGTCTCTCGCGACTTCAGCCTGGGAAGGGTTGATGAGAAACCCAGATCTTCCAAAGAGGTCAATTTGCTGGGTGGTCCAAAACCTGCAGCCTTCTCCTGCAAAGTTAAACTCATATTGATGACGCTTCTGGCTCAGTATTAAGTTGAGGAAATCTCGCGCTCTGCAGCCAGGGCGAGCGTCCATTCGCACGACTTTCTGTGCCGTAGTCGATATTGGAACAGTGTGCTCTAGATAGCTAATGATCAAAAAACCCTTACTGCCGTTAGGGTTTGTGGCACCAGGGATACTGTAGGACGGAGTCATGTCAAGCTGCACCGACGTAGTATCCGTAACATTGAGATAAAAGCACCAGTGATTGCCGCCATTTTCAAGCGGGTCATGGGCGACGACATCAACCCCCCGAACTGGAAGATCCAGCATCGTCTCCCTGTCTCGTGCGGGGACGAACTGCAAGGGCTCGAAAGGAGGCCTTTGATAGTTCATCTCGATAAAGTAGCACCCACGGAGTTGAAAGGAGTGGGGTGAATTGAAGCGGAGTAAGCCTCGGCGCGTGCGCGGCTTCGATTCGATACGGACTCTGGGGTTTATGGGTAGATAACCACTGCTGGCCTGCAAATGGCATCAACTGGATGTATTGAGCTTGGTTTGGTACAAGCCGTTAATTGTGTCTTTCAGATTAATCCTTATAGCAATATCAACGTAGACAAAGTAAGAGCCAAGACCGATAACTACACGGCTAACTAACTAGTTAACTCGTTGCCTGTTGTGTCACATAGTGCTAGACATGTTTGCTTGATTTGCACCGCTGCAGTCCCGATAAAGTGAATGTGACCAACTGAACACCCATGGATCCGTTCCCAAACACCCCGACGCGCCTTCCTGTTTCCTGTGAACCCAAAGAAGGCGGGCCAGTTCCCAGTGTGATGCATCTCGCCTTCATATGTCTTGAGCCCAGGGATATCAGGGTAATTGATTTTAGATAGCAGTCCCACAGTCATCACGTTATATCGGGATGTTGACCGAGGACCGGCTGATAGCGAAGGAGTCCAGAAGTTATCAACGTCATCATAAATGGCTCTTTGCACTTACGTGTTAAATTGCATATAATTTCGTAGATCATGTCTGTCGACAACATGCCTCAGATTAAGCCAATACTTCGGGCTTCTCTAAATACTCTCACTTCCAAGGATATTTGAGGAGATCCTCAAGGTCCCACGAGTATTGGTAGAAATAAGATCGTGTACTGGCCGTGCCATGAGCATACTCCTGTGTGTCGTGTTGAGTTGACTTACTCGGGCAATACACCAGGATAACGATTCCAATACCATGTTCCTCCCACATCAGGTGCAGCTTCAATGACCTTGACAGATAGCCCTTGGTCTGTGAGCTTCTTGCACATGTAGATACCTCCAAACCCGGCCCCTACGACAATCGCATCAACGTCGGGTCGAGCTGGAGCATACACAGGCATTGTCAAAGAGGCTTTTACGGCAGTAGACGGATTTCTAACAGTCAAAAAGGATTGAAATAGCACTCAGAATACAGACCGGCCTTTATCTATTTGTATGTTGTGTGTTTAAGGATGAACGCACAATCTATCCACTAGCAGTCGTAGATCTTCACCACTCCCCAACCCCTGGCATCCCCTCGAAATATCAGTCGGGGTAAGTATGTAGCCGTATAGATATGATGAGCGGGTAAGTCTAGCCGCGGCGGCCTTGCATAAATGAATATAGTCTCATTGACGCAGCTTCCACCCAAGGCGGAGATCTGCAGCGCGCTGTCAGTTTACTCTGCCAGAATATTGCTTCTCCTGAGTCTCTGATCATCGCGCTATATGCGACGCGGTGAGAACGGAGCGGTCCTACTCCTTTTGGAGTCGTTTGCATCTGGACTCTGTCTTCCAACTCAATACCAATTATGCTAAATGTCAAAGACTTCCAGTCTCCCGCCTTGGCAGCTAATACACTCCTGGTTTTGCAGAAAGCTCAATGGCACCCCCAAAGATCCGTCTCAAGTTTTTCCTTCGACACGTAGCCACTAGAGGTTTGTGCAAGAACCATACCATGCAGCAAGAACCCCTTTCCGCGGAGTCCACTGACAACACTACCACAGCTTTAGCAACACCTTCAGACCCTTTACTGGGATCCCATTTTCTGTCATGTCTCCGTAGATCACCTGCCAGCGCTGTAGGTGTGACAAAGGAGGTGACAGCGCCCACTGGAATGCCGGAAATACTCGCCGCCAGTCGAGATTTACGTAACATGCCAGTTACTGCATGCTAGGAGGTGATCTACCCGGTTACACCTGTACCACCAGAAAAGCCCGAGATTGAACTGACAAGTTTGATCGCCCCGCGTGTTTTAACTTCTGTCAAGGTAGCAAAGTTGGTTTCCCTGCGAAGTAAATGTAGCTTGACTAATTCGGTTCATGTTAGGTTCATGAATTGCCCTCGATTCAATGTCAATGACTCAGGAAAATACTGTTCAATATGTTCTCTATCCTCGAGGTCGAGAGACCTCGAGGTGCTTCCTCAAAATTTCTATTTTTCTGATATAAAAAAGTACCTAAAAAACATACAACAGAAGGGATTCGCTGGTGGTCACCCACCCAACTACTAACCTCCCGGCGTGTGGCTTAAGTACGGCTGAGCGGACGGGAAGCCCTATTTTCCACACCCTATGGTCGTATGTACTTGGTTCCATTCGCTATGGATACATAAACTCCCCTGGGAGTGATTGGGTCGTTGATTCTCTGCTTTGGTGTCCAGTTTTGGTTCATATAAATGTACAGTACAGACAGGGGTATTAGCACGTAAAATGATATACCCTAGCAAACACAAGTGTTTATTGGGGACAAAGAAATGGTTCGAGATAGAGCCCGAATAACCGACTACGGGTAGTTCACACAGTTCAAAAACTGATGTAGGATATTAAACGGCCCAATAGTATCTCTAGGCAAGATGGCCGAGTTGGTCCAAGGCGTCAGGTTAAGGTCCACCTTAATAACCCAGCTTCCCCAAGCTTCCTGATCATCGTAAGATGGCGTGGGTTCGAATCCCACTCTTGTCATGCTTTTTGGCGGCGGTGGTACCATGATAGAGGGGTTCCACTGCCGGCACTGAATTGAGGATAATTCCCGGTATTTTCGTCTTTTACTTTTTTAATTTTTCTTAAATCATTGCGGCACAAGTAACAATTGCTTCAGTCGTTGCGATTCAATAGCAGCCGTGGGTGTAGCATCAACATCAACAAAATTCCCCTCATATGCAGACGCCGGTTACATTATCCACAACATATTTGGCCATCATGTACATCGTAGGGCTATCAGCATTCTAAACGACCCAGAGACCAGGCTTAATTGAAGGAAGCCCTAGAGCCTTGCATAGTAAGCGCCCGTAGGTGCTTATCCATGTGGTAATTCCTCTGAGTTTCTGTACTCGACGCTCATGACAGTGACATGATTGTTCTTCCCATATTGATTCGCATTTGACACCTTGTCAATATGTAAAAGCTCGTGCAGCCAGACCGGGGCTTGATTATTTTAGTATGTATCCGGATTCGCGGCTATATTTGAATCGTCATACTCGCTTCTGTTCGTGTATTGCAACACCTTATCGACCCTCTGTAGGCCGAAGTACTCTTTGCAGATATTCATATACCCCTCGTCACATTTGATGTTCCTTTGGCCTGCTACGCATGAATTTGTGATGGACAGTTCGAGTCTGGGTCATCACAGCGGACGGACAGTCTCTAGTCGAGCCAATTTGGAAGCCAGCCGGGCTGTATGATGGCAAGGTTCATGAACATCTCCTTGTAGGTTACATGATTATAGAGCTGGCATCTGCCGAACCGAAAGCTGGGCAAAGGACGAAAGGAAAGCATTTCCCAAAATTAGTTTCAGATGCTACATTGAAACAGCTTCCTCTTCTCAACGGTTCAAAACCTCAGGCAAGCTGGCTGACTTAGAATTTAGTTCGTGATCATGCCTACTACTAGGTGGCACGGCTGTGTCTACTTATCACTGTTTGGAGTTGAGAGTCTGCGATTATTTCCTCGATACCCTTGCCTTCCGGCACCATCATCAAGCATATTAACGGAACAAAACTTTTTGATTGTATAACGTCTGATGCTCCCATTGTAGGGAAGCGACAATGCCTGACAAACGTAGCACGATTGGGACGACCCGATAGATCTTAATTCGGAAGAATGTCTTACAGATAAGCGCAGGCACACGCATTGACATTTATCTAGTCACCAGTGAATCCACTCCACAGATTCAGCCAATGCTGCAATATGTCACCTAATCCCACCCATCCTCCCCTCCGCTCATCTAATCATGGCCCGATCTCGCAGGTAGGCTTCTCACTCCAGACCGTCTTTGCATAGACCTGCAAGAAATCCCTCGTGGTAAATGACTCATCCATGTAGGGCTTGACGACCGGGTCTTTGAGACCAAGGAGATCTATAATACTTTTTTGTATGTCAATTGTAAAGACCACGTCCACTGTCTTCGTCTCGTTCTCATCAATGTTTCCCTTGACTTGCATAAAGTACGGATGCGGTTCATTTTCCAGGCGTGGGATGTGCAGCGTGTCATCGCCGCAGTCCTCTGGGTTGACAGAACAATCACCAAAATCATCTTTTGTAACATGTCCAGGGTTGAGGTTGTCCGGGTCACTTGCACGACTGGTAAGCACGCTTTGCTGAGAAGCGCCCGCGTATCGACCGGTAGACAATCTGACGCTGTTACTGCCACAGTCTTTCTTTGGCTCCTCATAATCTGGATCAGATCCCTTTCGAGCGTTCAATTCCCCCTGAAGTTTCTTTGTTACGTCATCATAGGGAACATCTGCAATATAGTAAAATATGTCCGCGTACGAGCTAACAGTGAACGCGTCCCCAACAGTGAACGGACCCTGATATAAATCGTAACGTATACCGTAGGTGTTGAAGATAATCAATCTGGCAGAATCCGAATTGTTCCCATGCACTGTTGCATTCAAAGCGGATCTCACCAACGTATAAATGTTATCCGGGCAGTTGTAAGGACTCGCCGCAATGTAGTATGATTGGGGAGCGCAGCCAAGTTCTGTGGTCAATTTGTATTGACTTCGAGTGCCCTCGATATCATTTGTGAGATACTGTCCGGTAGGTGTATCAAAGCTAGCAGGGACGTCAGGGCCAGTTGCCCCTAAAGCATGGTACGCGAACGTTTGGCGGTTGAAATCGAGGTAGCGACGGTCAAGGCGAACCGTTTTATCCGTAGTAGAAGACGATGTTGAACCGTGCGGTGTGCACGTCCTTGTGGGCATGGGAACATCCGTCAATGTTTTAGATCCGTTCCAAGTGTCCGAGGGCGCCACACCGCTGAGAGCAAGCCATCCCACTGTGTCAGAGTATCGGCCAGATTCGAGGCCAGACGATCCGCTGTCATAGCATGTGAAGTTGCGCACGTGTGTATGGCCACCTAGAACCTGAAGGGGAATCTCAGGCTTGTTCTCTCTGAACCAGTCCTTCATACAAATCAAGGGATTTTGGTCTCCATGGTATTTGGTTTTGATCTTGCAGCTCTGCCCAATATCAGCATGTCCAATAAGCAGATAGAGGTCCACAGTCTTGTTCATTGCGTCGTTGAACCATTCTTCATTTGTTATCTCTTCTTCTCCCTGGACATAGAGGCCTGGAGGGGAATTGAAGTCCTGAAGAGTGAATCCGAATGCCATGATCCGCAACCCGTGATTTGTAGTAATATATTTGTACTTTTCCCCAATGGATTTATTTTTGCCATCCTCTTCCACAAGAACGTTGCTGGTTAGATAACGATCCTCGTAGAAGCTCACTAAGTCATTTTCTATCTGATGAGTAACGTTTGGATCATAAAGATCGTTGTTACCGATGGTGAGTAGGTCATAGTGCAGATAGCGGAAAATTGGATTAGATAGCTGGCCTTCGGGAGTTGAGACATCACTGAGGCCATTGCCAGTCACAATGTCGCCTGGAGAGACTGGGTTAGTTGACTGGCACACTATATAAAGAGTCCAAGACCGGTAAGAATAGAAGTACCAGTGTCCACAACGAGAAGATCAACGTTTTGTTCATCAGCCTTGTCACGCATGTGCGTCACAAACGAAACAAAATCACCCCAATCAGCACCGTAATTTACCTCATTCGCATGCCCTTCGAGCCATCCATGGGTATCAGTTGTATGAATAAAATTTATCTCGCCCCAAGGAAGAGGTCTAGTGGGCCAGTGTGTCGTGTTGTGTGAATCGTGTTGCATCCGAGGAGCTATTTTCGGGGATTTTGACCGGTCGGGTTCTCTATCCTGCGCAAAGACAGCTGGAAGGGCAATTGCCGCCGTCCATGCAAGGGCTGAGAAGGCCATTATGGGCTCTTCAGGAAGCCAGGAGGCTTCAGGAACTGCCAGGGCTCGTTGGAATGACCGGGTGCAGCGTGGCTCAACGCAGGTGAAGCGAATTGACTGATTTCGCTGCAGGATTCTTCTGCCAGAAGATGCTTTTATGTTCACTTTTGTGCTGCCATCCCACGCTTTTCAGTTTTGGTAGGACGGTAACCATTGCTTGGGGGTGCCAAATGGACGTGTCATAGCCGGCATTTGGTAGCATTTCATTAGCACGACCAGCGGACCGATAGATTGCATTGGGAAGTCAAGGACGTTTTCGTCCATACTGCTACTAACGCTATAGTTTTATCCTGTGAACTGTCATAACTTAATTATATCAGACTTCTTCTGCAACCATGGGCCGGTGGACGGATCCGATGTTCCAACAGCGATCTAGGCGTAGTCCGGCTACCATGTCATAACCTTGAAGCAGACTACAGACGTCCAAATGGTCAATATTCTGCCCAAAAACCACAAGCTTCCGTGAATGCTCCACATGAGCGTGGCTAGCTCCCGTGGAGTGTATTTCTTGAGTTGAGTTCTCGGCGGTTCATCTCCACAACAGCAGGCCGAATCTAGCATCACGTTTGGCTCGGGATGTAGGGCTGAAACCCAAAACTATTTGGCATACCCAAATCTCTTTCAAGCTGAGAAGCAGAGCGCAAATAGACGTGACGATATTCCATCGGATTGCCATTGACGACAAAACTTTACATGATGTATTTCCTAATTGCGATCGGAGAGAACTGAAAAAAGGAAGACTCAACCTGTATCTAAAGAACAAGCCTAATTCAAATAACTCTGACTCTTTCAACGAAGAGCAACTTGACGAGGTATGCTCCGGATGGCTGTTAAGAACTACACCCCTCCATCACAGTAACTAGTAAATAGTAACAGCGTATTATATCATATTTGTACCCATTGAACACATCAACTCCACTTGATTCCACCCCTTCCACCCTAACTTTCTAATTGACAGACACCTATTACCCATCCCTTTCTGTAATTACAAATATGTAATATGAAAGAGAAAAGAAGTAAAAAAGGAAAAATAAAATAAATAAATAAATACAGGCGGCATCAAACTTGTCGAGCTGGGGTGATCCAGCTCCGATATAGGCCCGCGAATGCCCGATGGCCATTCTTGACTAAGCGGGCCAGTAAAACCACTCGGAAAAGGAAGACGAAGATGAGAGAGAAGACAGGGGGAAGACAGTATCGAAGCCAACAGTAAGCTACAAAAACGACAAGCTCATTTCAACGTTTTATATCGAAACATTGGCAAGGCAGCCCAAATTTGAACTGCTTCCCATGAGTTTTCGGTTGGGTTTGTCTGTCACCCGTCGGCAAGGAAAAAAAGTTGTGAATGAAACGCACTTGCTTCCATGAACTACGTACTAGTGCGAAAGACATCAGCATATAAAGAAGATATCAGTTACATGAAGCACCGCTGTACATCTCAGCTGAATGATCAAGGGATCTAAAGCAATAATGCGTGCCCTATGGGTAAATATATACTATCCGAGCAGGGTCGGTGGCATATAACATCCAGATATACATATTGCTAGTATTTCTGCACCTGAACGAGTAATCATCAGGTATATTGGCCACTCTCAATACGTAACGTTAGTTAGTAGTGAAGAAAAAAGTAATTATACTAGGCCCGGTTTCCTTGCGGACAATGTCCCTGCCTATCGTAGAAGATAGTAGTATTGAAGTTCAATCTTCCCACCTAGCGCTTGCACTGGTTTGATGCAGTTAGATCTTGACTATGGGCGATTTACAATACCGAGGAAGTAAAAGCGAATCCAGACCGAACCCATGGATGTCTATGATGAAGCCCCCTCTGAGCACTGCCTCACCCAGTCTGCAATCTTCGGTCCAACCTCGTCTCCTGGCAAGCCGATAGACAATGCATAGCTAACATGATTATGACCAGGCAACACCTCAAAGCGAGGAAGACGGCGGCGACGCTCAGCATACAGCCTCGCAAAGTCCAAGTTTCCTTGTACGCATTCCTCGAAATCCCACTCCGCCAGCATTAAAAACAGCTCGGGTGTCGGCACGGAAGCCACATCCGCGTCTTCAACGGACGGCAAATCCTGGAACATACCGTACGCCGATCGGGATTGAATAAGACTATGGTCCGTCGTTCCATAATACTGCTCCATGCTCTCGCGTCGACCCTTCTTAGTTAGGTCATACTTTAACGCCGCGCTGAGAAGCAGGACGCCGCGCACCAGGCTCTGTCCTTGGTCTGACTTCAGGTTTCCCGAGAAAAGCGCCATGGCGAGGTGGCCTCCACCTGCACTTTGGCCAAGCGCGAAGATGGCATTTCGGTTCCCTCCATACTGATGCACTTTGTCATGCAGCCACGAGAGAGCAGAGGCGACATCGTCCTGCCCGTCTGGGAATCGAGCTTCTGGCAGTAGCCGGTAAGTCCCCAAGACGCCGATCATACCCTGAGATGCGAAAAATCGACCGATATTTGCGTGCATGTGCGCAGTGATAGAATTATCGCCCAGCTTAAATGCACCGCCATGAAAGTAGACGACAACAGGCAGAGTCGCGTTGGTTGAGGTAGCATCTGCTGGCCAGAATACATCCAAGCGATGCCTTGGATCTGGGCCGTACTTCACATTCTTCTCATACTTGATTGTATGATCTGGATTCAGAGGGCCAACGGATAAATGCTGGGCTTCAAAAAAGTCCTGACAAGCAGTGTTCACTGACCCGTCCCACCGGTCTTTGAAGCCGAGGATGAATTGTTGAATTTCGGGCGCTAAAGGCATACCGTTCCCAATGTGTGGTGTAGAGTGGATACTGTTTCCTTTTAGGCAACTCAAAATAGCTAGCTAGCCCTTCACAAACAAGCGAAGTATAAAGAAATTGGATAAGGATTTGTAAAGAAAGACAGATGGTGGGGTCGAGGATGGGGTTGGTAGTGACAGCCTTAACCAAGACAGACAGATGAAGTGAAATGGGGTGAACTGAGGTGGGGTTGGGGAATGCTCAACCCCGCATCCAGTGAAACAAGCAGCAAAGGAGGAGCCAATGAATACTAGTAGTGCATATTATCGAAGGTATCATTGAGTGCACATTCACTATGTAATTAAATCACTGTGGGCAATGTTCACGGAGCTTGCCTGCACTAGATAGGGAAGGTTCTGAAAAGATCAGTTAATCCGGTACGCCCTGGTTCGTATATAAGGACATCATCTTCGCACTGTCTTGTTAGAAAGATCCCAAACACAATCAAATCAGTCTTTCCTTCCTACATCATCCAGATATTATAAGCCATAGCACTCCATACCAAAGACACTCTTTTCATTTCAAACACCATTCCGCTACCCATCTCTCATCCTCGACTTTTTCATGAGAACCATAAGTGCGACAAGACCAGAATGTCAAGCAAATTACGCCAAAAATGGCATACATTCCTTAACCTCCCCCGCCAATCCGACATTACATGGCACAAAAGTCGTCTCAGCGAAGAGCTTTCCGAGTGGCGCAAGGCAACTACACCCCTGGCCCGACTAAGCGAGACCTCGGACGTCCTATTCACAATATCTCGCGCCGAACATGATGGATTTCCTATCCCTTTTCGCCCTGCTTGGTCGCGGACGTATAACGCATTAGCCAGTACCTATATGCTGGGCAAGTTCACATCGCGATGGTATTTCTATCGCGTGGCTGCGTATTTCGCCGGAAAGCACGACTGGAGGGGCGTTAGAGAGGTGGTGAATCCGAGGAAGGGGATGAAATTGGATGAAGTTGCAGACAGACATGGCATAGATAAGGCAAAATTCGGTAGAGTTGGAAGACTATTATTATGGGCATTGCCAGTCTTTCCCTGATCCATGTTTGTGTCGGGGTTGGATAGTGTGGTGAGTGATATACTACTCCTGTGGTGAAGCTATTGTGATCCATACTGACTGAGATTTCTAGCTGCTTGAAAATCCATAATTTGGCCCAGAAATTTGACGCGAAATAGAAATGACAAGGATTAATTGTCAGGGATGACTATTTGTGTTCTTGCCATGCGATGGTAGTCTTTGATATAATTGTTCCTTATGGTGCGACCTCCAGACGAATTGCAAGTATATTTGGATATATAAAAACCTCCAACTTTGTGCTCAGAAAAAGCTTTTGGACCCCATGTGTGTCCCTCTATATACATAACAACAGCATACGAGCATTATATTTGTTCGTCTCTTGTGATGCGGCCTTCAGAAGAATTCCACATATATCAGGATACTATATAAAGGTGCTCCATATTATGCAGAAAAGGCTTCCGGGCCCAATATGTGGTGCTCTGTATACAGAACATTGGCACAAGAGCACTACCTCTGCTAAAAAGCACCTATAGAAGTCAATTGAGTTGACTATGGGAGGTACCGTATTGAAAACACTGATGACTCCATTCACAGTTCAATCATGACAACAATGCAACCGTCAACTGTAGCTTCGTGGAATGACCCGGAGCCCCTATATTCAACGAGCCAAACATTTCCAGCGCCGAGACTGTTAATGAAAAGGATTTGTCGTTGAGTGAACCTAGGCACCGACGATACCCTTGCCTATAAAATCCCCCAGCACCCCAAATTTAGTTCTGTCCTTCTACTGGTACCTCTGACGACTGAAATCTCATTTTCACACGTTATTGGTACACCATACAATTCTTCTTATCTATAGCCCTTTATCCAGATCCGACCATACCCCCCTTCGTCTCTACTTCCCTTCAGCTTTAGACTGTTTTCATTATATCTCATTCGACAATGCAGATGCCCACCTCGCCAGAAGACGAGAAGTGCCCTACCGTGGCACCCATGTGTCCCCCGGTGGCCGCCCCCAAGGTCATCGGACTCTACGGGGTGCCGGGGGCTGGCAAGACTTTTCTAATGAACAAACTGAACCAGCAGCTTGATGAGGAGCGTTTTGCCTTTTTTGAAGGATCCGAGGTCATTGCCTCTGTAATTACCGGCGGGCTGGATGCATTTAAAAAGCTCGACGAGTCTGAAAAAGCCGAGTATCGCAAGCGGGCTGTTCAGAAGATCAAGTCAACTTGCAGCGAGACCAGGAAAGTTGGGATTGTTACCGGCCACCTCAGCTTTTGGGACGACGAAAGACGTGACCACCCCATGAAAGTCGTCACTGAGGATGACTTGGATACCTTCACTCATATTTTGTACCTCAATACTCCGGTGCATATGATTACCGAACAACGAAAAAAGGATACCGAGAGACTACGACCAAGTGTGTCGGAGCGTCGTTTGTGCGAGTGGCAAGATTACGAGATAAAAGAGCTCTCTTCTCTTTGCCTGGAAAAAAACATTATGTTTGCTCATGTTTGGTCCGGTTTGAGCTGTAAGCTGTCGACCTTCATTCGTGACATTGAATGTCACGATGAGGAATATAACATGGCTGTTGCCAATGAACGTTTGGACAAGATTCTCTCTAACCATAGCGACAACGTTCAGACCGTCCTGTTTGTTGATGCAGACAAGACGCTCTCGGAAGACGACACCAGCGAAACCTTCTGGACGATGTTGGAAGATCTCAAGGGCGTCCATAATCCTCTAAGACGGCTCTTCAACAAGATGGGGTATTCGTATGCCGCGTTCAGACAGGCTATGATGTACTATGAAGATCAGGTCTGCGATGATGACTTCTCTTCTATCTGCGACGATATTGCAAGTGAAATCAATCTCTATCCCCAGGTTTCCCTGCTTCTCAAAAAGGCGGTCGAACACAAACACGTTTGTCCCGTTATCGTCACCAGCGGCCTGCGTCTAGTCTGGGAGAAAGTCATTGAGAGAGAAGGGCTCGCTAATGTCGTTAAAGTCATCGGTGGTGGCCGTATCGACGACGGATTGGTGGTTACCCCTGAGGTGAAGCGAAGTTTAGTTGTTCGTGCCCAAACAGTCCATGGAGCCCACACCTGGGCGATCGGGGACAGCCCTATTGACTTGCCGATGATGTTGGCTGCAGACAAGGCGGTTGTCGTGGTGGGTAAAGAACAAACGCGAAGCAAGAGCATGGATGGCGCTTTACGTGATGCTATCCTCAATGATGGGCTGCAGGCTAGGCAGGCCTTGCTGCCCTACAATACTCTGAAACCACGACTTGACCTGAACATACTCCCTGTGATCCATTTAGAAGACGAAAATATCCAAAGCTCGATCTTCCGCCACTGGTTTCGATTCTACCACGCGACCGATGATAACGCTTCTAAGTTGTTGAGTACTCCTATGGGAGACGACGCCATCCGCGGGCCGGCCCTCCAGGATGCTCATAAGAAGGCTGCTCACTATTTGTCCACAAAATACCTGGCAGAGATCATCGGACTTGAAACGTTCCCCGTACGCCACCCTCAAAACAAACACATCGACGGATATAGGCTTCTTGACGAAGGCCAGACGTTGATCGTGCCGCTGATGCGCGGTGGGCTGCCCATGGCAAACGGTGTTAACGAGGTCTTCCCAACTGCTCAGCTCCTGCACGCCAAGTTCCCCCACGACGTGAAGAGGGAGAATCTCGAGGGCATCGTCACTGTGATCTTGGTCGACTCTGTTATCAACAGTGGCAAGTCCATTGTGGAGTTCTTGCAACGTATTAGACAGATTAATGATGCTATTTGTGTCATTGTAGTTGCTGGCGTCGTGCAGGACCAGGCCCTCAAAGGCAACAGTCCTATTCGTGCTGTCGCACGTTCAATGGAGGTTACCATTGTCGCTCTTCGGGTGTCAAAGAATAAGTACACTGGAAAGGGAACTACTGACACCGGCAATCGTTTATTCAATACGACTCAATTGGACTGAAGAAAAGGGTTGATTATACTACTTCGAGAACACGGCTCACGAGAAATAGATTGTTGGAGGATTGACTGACGAACAGCGATGACGGATTTTGGCAGAGGCGCCTTTGTGTTGGTTTTGGGCAAAGCAGATGCTTGCGGGACGATTATAGTACTCAATCTTCTCTTGGTTCCCTTCGGTTGAGAAAAACCATGGATTGTATTTAAATAGATGCGGTCGATGCTTGGGACAGCCTTGCAGTGAATTCTTCCAGGACATTGTAATAGTTGTTGTGGTTTGTGGCTGAAGCAGCGTCGGGCGTTGTCTTTTGAACCGCCTTAGTGACTGGTCGAGATAGTGTACAGTCGGACTCCCCGTCATATTCCGCCTTGAACAAATTAGTGCGAACTAGTCGAATAGCATTCTTGTCGTCTGATTCATGAAGAAGATGCTCCTCAAATCCAATATAGCAGGGGCCTAATGAATTGCGACCGATGCTTTTCCTGGTTACGATACTAGGATAGTCTTCGTAAACAAAGTTCTGGGACAGTTATAGTTCTGGCAAGCTTGAACGCCGTCTTCTATTATCTCCACCATTTATTATGCGACCTTTAACATTTCTACCCAAGATACCAACCTAATCCAGGGAAAATCCAGTGACAACAAGTTCCACGATGTCTGCCGAGTTTGAGATCCATTCCTGCGGCAGAGGATCGTCTATGCTATGGCGGTCCATATCCGCTGTAGCAGCAGATTCCCACTCATCTTTGGTTACGGCTTTCCATAATAGAGTATTCTTGAGTGGTGGAAATTGCAAGTCGCATGCATGGAGCGTCCCACTTATTTTCCCCGTTATATTTATACCCTCCTTTGTGTCCAAGAACCCGAATGCCCTGCAGACTCTGAATAAAGCCAAATTGAATCTCTTCACGTCCTCAATACTCACCCATGAAAATCCAGGCACTATATTGTTGGCATAATGTTCCAATATATTTGGGTAGTAAAACATTCCTAACTTCTTGCAGCTTATGACCAGCCTTTCTAGGAGATCGGCATCTGCTGGGGCAAGAGAAGGCTTCAGGTCAAGGTTGAGCTCCCCACCGCCCCTATATAGACCCGCAAATATTATGTGGAGCAATATAGCCTGATATGTCGAGATAGGCCATTTGCAGGTACTACTTGCATCTGCTATCGAGACATCCCATGCGTCCTGCAGTCTCCCTCATTAGCGAACAGAACTAGGTTCAGGGGAAGTTTGCGTACATACAGTCTGCTGACGTATGGCTGAGCCCAAGACATTATGCAGGTCAATGGCTTTCGATTGGTATTTCCGTTGTTTACTCATCCATAGACCAAGAACAAGCATTGAGTTGACAAGCAATGGTGCCTCATGATCACCGAACGAACCTTTATGAACAAAAGGCCAACGGGGGTGAAATTCGTTGAAATATATGCGTATAAAGTGGCTTTCCTGGTCGGACTCATCTGTCTCAGGTCGGGCGGGTGGGGATTGAAGCATCCTTGGAGGGTCTGGGGGATCAACCGGCGGCGTTTCCGGCCGCCGCTCCAGGGAACAGTGGATTCCACGGCGCAAGCAATTGTTACATGGCGGTCCTCCTTGGCATCGAGACTTTTGTTTTCGACAATGGGCGCACGCATGTTTGATGTCGGGCATATCATTTACTCCATGTATGTTTTGCATATGGCGCCGGAACGTATCACTAGAGGAATCAGCAACATGCTCCAGATAGATTGTTCGAAAGGTGAGAGTCCAGTTATACCTCCGCCTAAATTTCTGGGTACAAGCTGGACATTGTCGAAGCTGTTGTTGGGTATGTTGCGCCTCGTGACGACGAAGATGCTCTTTCCGTTGATAGCTTGCCTTACAATGAGGCACTTGGCACCAGTATGTCTTAGGAGGCATGCTGCCACTTCCCCTTGCAGTCTTAGAAAGTATAGGCTCTGTTACAATGGCGGAGCTGAGGGGGGAATGTCTTGTCTCTGCTCTTCTCTCTCGGGCGCTTCCACAATGGTAGGATTAGTCAGTGTGCTCCCAAACA